ATTTCTGATTGGAATTTTTTTGTTTGGTAAAAACAATCTAATGTCTGACCAGTTTACAGTGTTGTGTTCCTGTGTTTAGATCCACCCCCAGGGCAATAAAAGATGCTACCATGAAGAATCCAATGCTAACAAAACATCCTACATAGATTGTGAGCAATGTGTATGAAAAAACATAGCATTGTGCATTAAAATGTCCAGTTTCAACAAATTATGCATGGCATCTGATCAAAGCACCACGGATACACCTTTTGAGCTCTTGGACCCATGCAAATGTGTGTGTGTGTGTGTTCTTCAAAGGACAAGCAAGAGAATCCGCTACATGACATCAAATGTAAAACATACATGGTGGGCCTGTTATACCAGTCCCAGGCAAATATTTTTCTCCGCAGCTTTTGCTTTTCTTCAGACAGTGATGGGCTTCTCCTCTTCCCAGAGCAGAGAGAAGTTGCAGCAGGAAGGCACCCTTGGCTGACCAGAACATCCCAAGGCCATCGGATGATAGACTGGCAGATGCCACACTGCAGGGGAGGTCAAGGAGAATCCAGGCTGCCACAGAGGATGATCCACATCACCACTTGGCGGAGGGGGACTTCGTGAAAAGCTGCACAAACTGGTTGGGAGCGAGATGCAGCCCCTGCACCAGGCCAGAGTAAGCTTTTGGGTGCCATTTTAAAGCATTCGTCTCCCCAAACTGTCACCCTGTGCCTGGCAGCTTCAACCAGCCAGTTGGCGTGAGCAGGGAACTGACATATATTGCGAAATGCCGTCCTGAAAGGTCATCAGGAGGAACCAACACACACCTGTCAATTATAAGATTTATTAACTCATTCATGTGAAACATTTAAGCCCCCGTTTCCTATGGGAGGCTCCACCCTCAGCATTGCAGGAAAAGGCAGAGCAGCCCCTGACAGCTATAAAAGTGTCCCATTTTGAATAGGCTGCCTACTTTAACTTCCAAATAACTGTGATCTCTTTTCAGGGATTTAAATTCTATCCACTAGGGGGAGCTAGAGTTACTTGTCACCCAATAATTGTGATAAAGTGTGATAAATAATATGGGCATTTTAACACAGGACATCCTGCATTTCTAAAAAGTTCTCAGCAACATGGAATTTGCATTAGAAGATTCATTATTTATCTGAAAAGTGATAGTACCCAGAAGACTCAATAAAGATCACCATGATAAGTATCGTTTAAAAAACAAAGTGCTTCAAGGACATTCTGTCTAAATTTCAGAGCACTCTTTATCCTCTGATCTAGAGTGGTGACTGTGCTTCAGTGCAAACATCCCTGTGGAGGTGGCTATTTATATATTTATTTACATTGTACCAGATTACTTTTCTTCCAGTTGTCTGGGGCTCCCAGAAATCAAGTGACAACAAATATATATATATAAAACAATAAAGGAGCTAATAAGCAGCAACTGAGTATGTGGTCATTATCTGAACATCAGAGTGCTAGTGCAGAGTACAACTTCAGCTACCTTCCATAGAGCTAGGGTTAGGGATACCCATTTCTGGAGAGGGTGGTTACCTAAAAAGTCAAGTTATCTTCTACTTGTGTATCCCAGGGACCTGAGATGGGTAGCCATGTCCCACTAATATAAAACGTACGATTTTCGTATTCCAAAGGTTTACACAGATTGATATAAAATCACAGGAGACAAACACAAAGAAAAATAAATTCTGAAGGCAACACCACCCTTTTAAGTCTCTTAGCTCCTACTCTTTCCACATCACCCCAAACACTCCTAAATTGAACACACAGGGGAAAGGCCAGCTGACGTTTCCCGACATTTTCAAAAAAACAAGCAAGACCCTCATGATATTCTTTCAGTCCACTCCCACCCCAGAGACATGACTTCGAAATCCACCTCACTTGCCTTAGATGGCCATATAACTACCCTCCAAGCAAGCCGCTCCAGACTCCAACTGCCTGTTTTGCAAGGCAACAAACTTATACTATGCACAGACCCTGCAGCTTCAAACAGTTGTGAGGCAAGCCCCATGTAAGGAGAAAGCAGTTCTTGAGGACCACCCCAAGAGGACCTGAAGGTCCACCACAGGCCAGATGGGCTTGCGCTGATGGAAGTGCAGTTGGAACAATAGCCACCTGTACCTATAGGGCCATGTTGTCGGCCTCAGACACCTTTGCCATAAAGCTAAGGCCCAAACACAGTGCTGTCATGGCATTGCCTCTTCTAAGAGGCATGACGCAAATTCATGAAGGATGGTCTGTCAATAGCTAATAGCCATGAATGGCTAAACAGAGCCTCTATGTGCTGAGGCAGTGGACCTGTAAAGATCAGTTGCTAGGAGAAACACAGCCGGACAGGGCCCCTGGGCTCACGTTCCGTATGGGATCTTCCTGGAAGCAGCTGACTACTCCCCTTGTTGGAAACAAACTACTCAACCGGGGAGGAGGCTGGTGCGATCCAGCTGGGCTGGATTGCTTTGTTCTTTTTTCAGAGGAAACTCTCATTCTTTTCCCAAAGGATCTATTCACATGATGGCCATTTGTCACCATGAAATTATGATACCAGCAAACCCTCCCACAATCCCCACCCCACCTTCTTGGCTAGTGCTGAGCAAGTGCTGATGTCCTATCAATTTCCTCATGTCTTGGGCTGAAAGCACCAGCACTGTTTTATAGAAGGCTTTGGGAACCAACTTTCTATCTGCTAACACCGTTCGAGGTGAATTCAAGAAACAAAGAGCACAGTTACAAGGAGAGAGTGGTTCTAGACACATGAATGTTGCTCCCACTTGTGTTTGTAGAAAAGGGTGCTGGCATATTTGTAACTAAAAGTGTTTTTAATAGTGAAACATTGGAAAATCAGCAAGACCTAAGAGACAGTTGCTGCAGAGAAGCTGAAGAAGCAGGAGTGATCTGGACACCTGCTCTTCCATTTTTGCTGTCATTTGGGAAAGGGGCAGCTTTTGCAGCTCAACTGCTCCGAGGTTTGTGAGCTCTAGGTGATGCTTGGAGGTCATAAATCACATTACAGGTGAGGTAAATTATACAGTAGAAAAGCGGTATTATGAGCAAGTCATTTCCTTATACTTTTGATTTTCCTGGTTTCTCTGTAATGTGTGAGAGTTTTAAGGGATTTGAAAGCTAATGGACAACGCACGGTCCTGTGACCGCATGTCAAGGTCACTCCGGATAATATGGATAATATGGCCTCATGAAATCTAGAGATGCACTGTTGCTGCCACCCTTCCCACTTCCAGCCTAAAAAGTGGAGGCTTGGCTAGTCTTCAATCCTTAAACTCGCCATTTTATACCCAAAAGGAACTACAGGAGATGAATTTGGAACGGTACTTTAAATGGGAACAGTGTTCTCGAAGCTACCAGCATGAGTTTGACCAAACTGTGGGAGGCAGTGGGAGACAGGAGTGCCTGGCGTGCTCTGGTCCAGGGGGCCATGAAGAGTCGGACACGGCTAAATAACACCACCAAAGCTTTCAGATCAGGGGTGGCTAAACTCTGGCCCTCCTATTTGCAACTTCCATCCCCATCCCTGACCACTAGTCATGTTGTCTGGGGTTGATGGGTGTCCAACAACATTGCAAGAGCCACAGGTTTTCTATGCCAGGTTGGGGGGGACTGCTAGGAGGGCAAAAGTGAAAAGTTGCTCTACGTGTGCAGATTCAGTGGCGCAAGTCTCTTGAATTTGGCCTGATTAGCACATTTTATACATTGTGCATAGAATGTAATGTATGCTTTATCCACCTCTCTAATAATCTGGTTTTGCATGCATTTGGACTGAAATGCTACTGCCCTAGCAGAGACCATTTTGTTAGTCCGAGGGATAGTTTGGGAAATGCTAATGAATAATAGCGAGTTCCAGTTTCAACAGAAGTCTAGTCATCACTGAAGGAGTCTACTTGCGTCTGGGCTGCACGACTTCAGACCTTAGGTGATGGAGTGCTATTCCATACAAAAAACAAACAAATACACACCCTCTACACAGAAAACTGGAAGGAAAAACTAAGACAAAACACTTATCTGCAACATCTAGTTTTGCATGTGTTTTTTGGTGGTGGAAGGTTTGTTAGGTGTATTCAGTCATGTGAGCCCCAACTTGCTGTTTGAAATCGTGCAATCCAGAAACAAGTCTTCCCCTCACTAGAACAAAGCCTTGAGATATGCTTGCTTCTTTAGAGAGACGTATCTGCAGAAGCTTTTCTGCTCCAGAGCTCTGAAGGCAACATATGCCAGATCTCCAAGTCATAGTCAGGAGATGGCAATGCTAGTGTAGGAGTACAAGAATGAGTCAAACAACGGAAGACAACAGATATGAAGATCAGCAACTGCAACAGAGATGGTACTATAATTCACTTTATCTTTTTATTTACACCACAAGAATAACAAGTTGTCATAATGTGGTACAAAATACTGGACTTCTATTAAAGTTGAAAGTGAAGTTGGTATTGTCAGAGAAAGACACCATTGGCCAGTAAAAAACAAGTGAAACAAAACAACAAAAACAGGAATGAGAGAGAGAGATATAGAGCTAGGAAAAATAACCCAAAACCTTCAACCCCACCAAGTAAAGGAAAAGGTGGTAAGAAAATTGAAGTACAAAGAATATGCTACCATCACTTAAAGGGTTCATACAGTTAAGAGTGAAACTGTGTCTAAATTACAGAATAAACTGGTAGCTGCTACCAATGGTGACAACATACTGAGCATGTATAGGTATAAAGCAGAATATAATAAGAGTTACAACTTTTGGTACTACATATTTGTAATAAGCTCTTGGGTGAATAGATTTCCATCCCATATACATAGCATCTCCAATGTAGAGCACCAGAAGTGTTAGATTCTTTGTTTTTCCTCTTTTTTCTTTCTATCAATAGGATTTTTCATCTATATCAAATACACGGTGAAGCTCAACTATCACTATGAAGAAACTTCATTTCCTGCTGATATAAAGTTTGTTTGAAACCACAGTGTTTGCATATCACTGCTTAAAAGTGAAATCTATTGATACATCTTTCAAAATAAAAATGTTAACACAGCTGTGCTGAAGAGTTAACTCTTAAAAGTTCTTGACATTTTTATCTGAGCATTAATATAAAAAGAAGTTGGCATATGTTTGTGCCTGCCTTATCCCTTTCCTGCCTAAATGAAAAACAAAAACAAAAAACTCCCCCCCCTTAAAGAAAAATGACACAGGCAGTTACTTGTGTGTTCTGTACAGTTTCCCCTAGAACATTATTTCCACATAAATACAATAAACTCTATTATTGGTTTGTCACAAGTGCTAGATATTTTTTCTCTTAAAATGACAAATGTTTAAGTAGTCCTTTGTATTTTTTAAATTTTACAATAAAAAGCACAGGTCCTTAATAAGTTCAGTAAGACAAACTTCCCCCCTTCATGCTCCTCACTTTAATTTGCATGACAGAAAACACCCCAACAGTTTATCTGTTGCTAATGCCATTAGAGGGGATTTCTCTTTCCAAAGCTGCCACATGTGGCGTGCAAAATCTGTATACAATATAAAGACATGCCAACCTAACAGACCATGCAACCTCAAGGTGTAGGAAACTTAAAAAAATATATTCATATATATATTTTTATGTATATATATATATATATTTATATATATATATCAATGCCCATAAAATGTGGGCCCAAAAGTTTACAAAAGGAAGAATGGAATGAGTACATGACTAATAAAAAGGAATGTTTGTGTACTGAAAGTAAAATAAACCCCAAATACTCAACTATTAGTACTTTGTACTACAACCTGGATCTTGCTTCTGGGTAATACAGCTTCAAGATGTTCCTTTGTTTCTAAATTGCTACAAGAGAAGAGTTGTAATAAGCCGCCCAATACCTTGGAAGCGGAGTTAGCAAAAGCCTCGAGTATCTTGCTGGTGGAACTCAGGTACCTCATGTTCATAGTCTATAAAAATGTGGGAAGCATAGGCATGTTGCCCAAATCAGCTTGGATTCTTAGTTTAGCCACAGAGCTCACAAGCAGGTCCATGTTAAGTGGGGGAAACAAGGCTACGGTGGTACCTTCCCAACAGCCATGATGCTCATGTTCGCCTTATGCTACTGGAGCAAGGTTGGGCAACAGCAATTTTAAAAAAGATCTCAGAATTCTGGATTATGGAACAGACTGACGTATAACAAAGTTGTTTGTGACTTTAGAAAGGCAATGATGTAGCAACACTTGTTTGTAAGAAACAAAGTAAGAGTCCTAAAATTAACAACATTGAAAGTAGTTACCAAATACTCCAGGCCAACATGTCAACACCGTTGAGTTGTGTGTACCAGCAATTTCTTGCAATGAAAAAGTACCGTATTTACTCGAATGTAATGTGCACCTTTTTTGGCCAAATTACATTGCGAAAATTAGGGTGCGTATTAGATTTGATGCTGCATTTACAGTCGCCAGCAAATACTTTTTTGGTTCCAAGGTTTTGAAAATTGAGGTGCACGTTAAATTTCATGACGCATTAGACTCGTGTAAATACAGTAAGTATTTTGAAAACATGTAAAGTGGTGTTGAAAATAAAATGTATTATAGACTGAAGTAATTGTGGATGCATCACTTTTATCAACAGTCATAAAGGGCTAAACTAACAAAATATGAAATCAGATGATTCCACAGCAAAAATCTTTAAAGATCACAGCAGCAAGGTAGTCATTTTATAAAATATACATTTTATCTTTACTGTCAAACTTTACTCTTAGAGTATGCTCTTGGCAGTTCTAATGCCAAAAAGTATTCATCAATTTGCATGTATTTGGGTTAGCAATAACTCAAATATGGTAGTGTGTCTTAAAAATTGCATATCAAGCATTAAATAAAAACCTCAAACTCTCTCCAGCACTCAGTCGGATTTATAATTAAATTCTCACAATTCTGATTTTAATGGAATGAAGAAAAACAAAACTTTTCAGAACCAGAAAATAAGTTACTACAAAGTGACCCTGTCAGTTATCATAACAAAAATATTAAAAAAGGAAAATACCACTGGTTATTCAGATGAGGGGCATGTAATATCCTACACTGCTTGAAAAAGAACACATGAATTCAGTCTCCTCCAGATATCTCATTCCACCACTAAAAGTTTAGTTACTTATTCTGAGGGTCAACTCCCCTCACCTCAAAAGGCAACTGGGGGGATCGGAAATAGTGACCAAGATTAGCAGTCTCCCAGCCAAAAAGAAGATATTAATATTACGATTCACTGTGAAATAGTCTTTTAGAGGACTAACTCAACCAGAGTGGTTTAAGAAAAGTTCTGTGTGTATGTGTTAGCATTAACTGCATGAGAGTTTGGCAGACCTTCAACATGGTCACTAAATTTATTAATGCCTTTAATAATCCTTGTCACACTCTATACTGAGGATATAGGATACATCGCTCTTTGTAATATTAATATATTTTTAAGGTTAAGAAAGCTCCTTATTTTTTTAAATGTAGCATAGCAACTATGACTGCAGAACTGATAAAATATACAGTCAGTTTCCTGATATAAAAAAGACCTTGGAATCCTTCCTTTTGTGAAAAGGGCTTTCTAAAAACAAAGCCTAACAATTTGCAACTGTCCCACATGACCATGAAAACTGTTGATGGTACGAAAGGCCAAACACAAATAAAACTCCAGTGTGGAAAGTGACACAGGTCAAGAAAATGGTTACTGTTTAGAAACACAGCTGTCCAATGGAAAATAAAATGAAAATTCATGCAATAAGGCTGTTTTAAGGATTTTGTAAAAACCAATATAAAATAAAGCAACAGCAAATACATATTTACTAAAAAACTCATTTTGTTAAAAGAAGATCAAAATTAAAAATCTTAAATTAAAATAGTGATGTTAGGGTAGTTGCCTAGCGGCTAAAATGTTGGCATTCTGAAAGCATTCCAAACTACAGTTTGAAAATGGTCAAGTTTCAAACAAGATCCCTTTTCTAAAAACCCTTACACTCCAATTCACAAATAAATCTTTTGCAAGGGAACTTCCAATGGCTACCATTGTAATCTGCATTTATTTATATATTTTGTATAAATGCATTATAAATATTTTATCAATAATTTGTAAGAGTCGCGTTTCTAAGCTTGGAATACATTTGGAATATACATTATACATATACATTTATATAATTATACCTAAAATATTAAGCAGTATATCATGCTAGTTGCTTTTAATAAAAAGCATTCCAATTTTTTTAAAATTTGCAGTTGTATCTGACGCATGCTTTTACAACCAAATTGATAGTTAAAATGGTTATACATAATGTGTAGGAGAAGATGTTGGGATTTTTTAATCAATCGTTGAATTTTAGAAATCCAACAGTATTTGCCACATTACTGGCAACTACCTTAATTTTCATTTTAAACAGCAATAAAAGAAAACAAAACAAAACAAAATCCAAACTTGTCAACTGTTTGGGAGAAGCTCCGGCCATTACTTGCCAGCAGAAATCCTAGAGCCTTTCTTGCTGATTGCAGTTCTCAGCTGCCCGCCCTTCCCAAAGAATCACTGCAGAGTTCTTTTCTTTAAGGCATTGTTCATCAAAACGTCAGAAAAAACCAGCTGCCCAAAATCAATCCAATCTTTTTTTTAAAAGGCACAAACTCTTCAGATGGCTTTGGAGATGCTAAAGCCAATCCCCTTTCTGGGCTTTCTTCCTTGGTTTACGTTCTTCCTCGCCACACATATATAGTCTGTCTGCATGTATATTAGGTATAAAAAAAGCTTAGTTCTCTTTTCACCCTTCATATAAAGGAAAAAAAAGACTTCTCATATTGTTTGGGTTTTGAAGAGAGTGTCTGGATCACAGGTAGGCAAGAGCCACAAAAATAAAACATAAAACACAAAACTACAATATGGTCTGAGTGGTCTGAACGGAGGATAATCAAACTTTAAGCACCAGTTTTAAATGAAAGTTGTCATATCTGTGTTTAATCTTTGATTTCTTTCTTTTTAAAAAGTTGGCAACTTTGCCAAATACTTCACTGGCTTCTTGCCTCTCAAACTTCCATTTAGGAAAAGAGGAAGAACGCTCAGCGCATATGTCTTTAATATTCCTGCTCTTCACCTGCACTTTTCCTTTTCCACAAGCGTATTCTGTACAGATACAGAGAGATTTAGCTTTCTTTTACGCATGGCTGCCGTTCTGTAGTCTGGAAGAAAACCATGACAGGATGCAGGAGTAACAAGAGAAAGCTTCTTGGCAGAGCTTCAAGACAAGACGAACGAACAGGAGAACTCCAGCCTCAAAGATGCCTGCTACAGGGGAGGGTCCTCTTCCATGGGCTCCTCGTCTGGCCTGGAAAGAAACGCATCGAGAGGAGTCAAAAAGAAGGAAGCAGATGGAGGTACAGAGCAAGCAAGTGTCCACAAGGCTCCTTGTGACGGGATATACTGTTTGCAGATTTACCTTCTTCAGCTTAAAGACCTAGGCAGGACTTGGGGAGGCCAAACTTAATAGCATCTGATCATGAGAAACAAAACCTCATTCTCTTCTTTATCTACTCAATGAAAGTAGAGTATTACTGAAATTTTAGCCCTGATAAAATGATAGTTTATAAATTTATAACTTTTAATAAGTTTACAAAAGTAGGGAATGAAGAAATTCACACAGAACATTCATTGGGGAATCACAGTTACAGCTGTATCACTTTTATATTGCTTACTCATTACTTTCACAAGGAGTCAAATTTAAATATTGTTGTGATGCACAATGATATAAAAGACTCTTGTGTTTTCACACTATAACAATAGACAGTGATCTGAACACTTGCAATACTTCACAGCTGACTTTGTAATTTGATTCTGAGTAGCTTTAGCCTCCATGAACTTTACTAAACAGCATGTATAGATAGTCATAGACTCATACGTCATGCATTTAATGTTACTAAGCATCAGGGCCTAGTTAGTAAAATCTGCCTGCTTTTTAAAAAAAAAAATAACTGGAAGAGGACAAGGCCCCCTAGATTATGAGGCCCTGGACTGCAGCCCACTCAGTCTGTATGTATATTTGGCACTGCCATCAGGGTCTCTTTAGGCCAGTGTTTCCCAACCTTTTTTGGGCAAAGGCACACTTGTTTCATGAAAAAAATATCGAGGCACACCACCATTACAGCCCCGTGACGTCAGCGCGCAGCGTCACGCGGGGAGGGACGCACGGAAGTGTAAGTTTCAATTTTTTCCCCTCCCCCTTGCCTTCCTTCTGTGCCAACCGCCAAAAAGCCAAGAAAAAAGCCAAGACTTTAGGGGAGCAGGTCGACACGGAAGAAGCTCCTACCTAAGGACAGGTGCGACGGCCGTGTCCTCTTCTGCCACACTTGGCAGCCCTGCCTCACGGTCGTGACTCCCACCCTGATTTCTCCCCGCAGGTCGAGCGGCACAGGCAGCCCAATGTGTCCAGCCCAGACACAAGCCCCGCTTCCCCACTCTAGATCCTGAATGCGACCAAGTGCTCTGGACTCCCGAGCAGGGTGGGAAAGAGGACTCGCATCTGGTAGCCTCCGGGCTCCTCGCCTGCTCAAGGGATGGCATTGCAGGCAAGCTGCCGGCCGTCGCCATCGCCGCCCCCTCATGCGAGTGGACCTGCCCGGAGTGGTGGGCCGGGGGAGGCTCGCTCTCTGTGGGGATGTGGCCCGCACGCGCGGCCCCGCTTCCTCCTGCCCAGGGCTGAGCTCCTTACCCGCGATCTCGGTCTCGCGCCGTCGGATCCCACTTATTCTGAAGCTCGCGCCACTAGCCGGGGCTCTCACACCGTGCCAGGGCGAGGCGGCGCGGCCCACTGACGTCATCGCGGCTCGCCGCCGCCCTCGACTTCCCTGTTCCCTCCCCTCCCTCGGGTCGCCGTGGTTACCGAGGACTGCAAGCTGCTCGGGCGAGCGTGGGGCATTAAGTGGGAGAAGGAAAATTAAAATTAAAACTCGCCTGAAGGCCGCCTCTCCGGATACAGTGGTGCCTCGCAAGACGAAATTAATTCGTTCCGCAAGTCTCTTCGTCTTGCGAGTTTTTCGTCTTGCGATGCACGGTTTCTCATAGGAATGCATTGAAAATCAATTAATGCGTTCCTAGGGAAACCGCCTTCAGACCAGGTCCGGGGACAGTCTGTCCCCCGACCTCTTCTGAAGGCTGGGGGGGGGACAAGGGCTTTTCTTCCCACCCCCAGCATTTTAAAAAACCCCGGGACAGCGGAGGACTTCTCCGCTGTCCGGGGCAATCTTAAAATGCTGGCGGGCGGCATTTTAAAATCGCCCGGGACAGCGGAGGACTTCTCCGCTGTCCGGGGCGATTTAAAAGCCCCTGGGAAGGCAGGCAGGGGGGACAAAGATTTTCGCCCCCCGCCCGCCTTCAGAAGAGGTCCTGGACCTCTTCTGAAGGTGGGCGGGGGCGAAAGTCTTTGCTCCCCCCTGCCTGCCTTCCCGGGAGAGCGGAGAAAGGCAGCGCGTTTCACCGCTGTCCCGGATGGCTTTAGAAGGTCCTTGACCTCTTCTGAAGGCGGGCGGGGGCGAAAGCCTTTGCTCCCCCCTGCCTGCCTTCCCGGGAGAGCGGAGAAAGGCAGCGCGTTTCTCCGCTGTCCCGGACGGCTTTTGAAGGCAGGCTTTTGAAAGCCGTCCGGGACAGCGGAGAAACGCAGCGCGCCCTTGCCGCTGCCCCCCGACTTGGCTGGAAGGCTGGCGGGGGGAGAAGCCTGCTCCTCCCCGTCGCCAGCCCCGCAAACTCGGGGGACAGCGGGAGAGGCGCAGCTCGCCCTTCCCGCTGCCCCCCGACTTGGCTGGAAGGCTGGCGGGGGGAGAAGCCTGCTCCTCCCCATCGCCAGCCCCGCAAACTCGGGGGACAGCGGGAGAGGCGCAGCGCGCCATCCCGCTGTCCCCCGACTTGGCTGGAAGGCTGGCAGGGGGAGAAGCCTGCTCCTTCCCGTCGCCAGCCCCGCAAACTCAGGGGACAGCGGGAGAGGCGCAGCGCGCCATCCCGCTGTCCCCCGACTTGGCTGGAAGGCTGGTGGGGGGAGAAGCCTGCTCCTCCCCATCGCCAGCCCTGCAAACATGGTTTGGAGGCTGGCGGAGGGCTTCCTCCTCCCCCAGCCCCGCAAGCTCCCAGAGCGATGCCAAAGCTGCGCGCAGCTTCGGCATGGCTCTGGGTCCCGTTCTGGGGGAGGGGGAAGCTTGGGCTTCCCCCGCCCCACGCCTGGCGGTGGGGGAATAATTTTTTTCCCCTTTATTCCCCCCCCCCGCCAATTTTTCCCGCGGCACACCAGGCAACGTCTCGCGGCACACTAGTGTGCCGCGGAACACCGGTTGGGAAACACTGCTTTAGGCCATCACGCTGTGTCTCTGTAGCTAGAGGGGGATATTCCTGAGTAGAGCAGGAGTTCTTGACATGAAAATGTCCACTGCTTGCTCCTCCTCTGCCACTAATCATTCAACAACAGAGGGCAAAAAGGAGGCATTCTGGAGCAGATTGAAAGCTTTCCTGGCAGAGCAATTTTCCTTCTCAGCAGTCTTAATGAGAAGGACAATTTTAAAAAACCAACCCGCAATTAGCCAAAAAACCTAAGCAAAATGAAGAGGAAAATGTTGCCCTTACTTTCGCCATGACTGAGTCTAGAACAGCTTTGGATTGGGCAGATCCACCTTCCTTCAAACCCTCCCCATCCCCTTTGGATTACTCTGTTGTATTCATAATAATCAGTTGGGAACTTCTGGAGATAAATCTGGCTTCCCAACTTTAATAAAAAATCAGGGTGATGTTTAGTTTCCACCTCCATTCAACATTATTAAGCTACAAAGCACTCAGCCTTGAAAAATGCATGGTGGTTCTTCAAATTTTGAAGGCCACAAAATAAAAGTACTTTAATATTAGAAAGGACTTCCCGGATAAATGCAATTTTCTAGACCCACTTGATGGGAGACCTGAGAGCAGCTTTAGAATCTATAGAGGAATATTTCATATTATGGTAAGCAATTGGTTCCACTCTTCAATTATTCAAAACCGTTGTGTACCCCCACACATGCATAATCCTGCCCAATTTTCTGACCACTTCCATGTTGTGGTGATGCGCACTCATGCAGTTCTACAGGCAATGATCAATTGATGTACTTCTAATATTAAACATAAATCAATCCTGCTGCAGCTTGAAGCTAATACATCTTACCAACAAACAAGTCTTTTCAAAGTATTGCACTAAATTTTATTTTTCTCCTTGCTGAACACAACCCTTTTTTGTTTTTCTTCAAATCAGGACACTATGCTGAAGCCCAATGTGCTTCACCTGCAGATGCCTAATTTCACACTTTTTGCCTAAAATACCACTGTTTTAGATATAAGCAGATGGAAAGAAGTGAAGCTCACTTTTTGTCATGTGGTGGCTTGACCCCCACTGATAATGATGCCATAGCTGTTACAGTTTCTGCTTCTTCGTTCTCACACTTCTGTGCTTCTATCAAAGAATAGCTGACTGTTGAGGAATAGCGCTGGAGTGAGTGCCAGTACTTACCTAGAGGAAATAAAAAACGATATGCCATTAGGCAATCCACTACTGCCCCTTGCTTTTAGTACAGCTACAGAAAAAACCCAACCATTATCACTACTACTGACATAGCACCATCCATGTACATAGCATTTTACAAAGAACAGGTTTAATAGGTCCTACCCAAAGAGGCTCACACAGGGAAACATAGGACGTTGGGACTAGAGTAGGGTGGGGAACCTCTGGCCTGCAGGCCAGATTTGGCATGCCAAGGGTCCTGATTTGGCCTGTGAAACATGGGTGTAGCCAGGGGGGGCAGGGAGGGCAGCTGCCCCCCAAATCAATAAAAAGCAATACAAGGTTATGCCCCCCCTAACAAAAGCCTGCCCCCCAACAAAAATTCTGGCTACACCCATGCAGTGAGACTGTTTTCCTTAGACTTCACCTGGCTGTCCCACATACAACCTGATATGTGACATCCGGGCAGGACATGTGGGGCAGGAACAGACATGGCTGGATCAGCTGCACCACTGAGCTTCCCTTGCGGAATTCTTTTGCAGAAAGGAATGACTGAAATCCCTGCCCGTCACCACTTGGGAAGCGGGTTCAACCCTGTAGCATTGGCTGTGCAACCAGCTTCCCTTGGGAGAACTCAAGCACACAGCTGGCCTGCGCTTGGTGTTTTGCTGAACAATGGGGATGGCAAAGTCTCTTGCGCTGGGGTTCCCAGGCGCTCAGCAAGCTGGCTGCCAGGTGCTTGGGAAGTGCTGCAAGAGGACAGGTGGGCCAGACAACACACCTGCCCACCATCTGACATCATGATGTCAGGTGAGTGTCCTGCCCACATGTTGAAAGTTGGTCAAAGGCAAAAAAATTCAACAGGCTTAAAAATTAAAGTTTTAAAATATTTCTTTATACAACTTATATCCCACTCCTAATCACAAGTGATCTTATCGTAGATCACAATTTACAATACAAAACACATCCATCCATACAAAATACAATTAAAAGCTCACCATCTATCTTATCAAGAATTATAATCAATATGGCCGTGAGGCAGCATGCGCAAGATGCACTTTAACCGTGCAACCATATGCATAAGAAACATAAAGTGGCTGGCAAGTAACCAGTTAGCCCATTCCAAAAGAAGTTATTTATGAGACAAATTCCAAATAATCTGCAATCTCCACCTCATTTTTCCACCATGTTTCCTTTTTCCAAGATCAGATACTGAACTCCTTTCAATTTATTTGCCTCATTAGTTTCATTCTCCAGCTATCTTTGCTATTTGCATTTTTTAGTATTGAAACTTTGGGGCTTTTCTATTACAATATGCATTTTGATTCTTACTTGTGTATATTATGTTTTTAATTGATTTTGTTAGTTCTATTGGTTTACTCTTTGCCTTTGGGTGCTTGTAGAATAACCCTTCTGATTTTATATGATGAAACATTTAATATAATTTCTTTCAGAATTATTTTACATCTCCATAGATTTTCTTAGTGTAAAGCAGTCTGCATGCATGCTGAAGTTGTGGTTTATTATTTGAGTTAATGGAACTACATAGCTTCACTTTAAACTGATGAAATCAGGAACTCTGTTTAACTGTGGAATAGCAATGATTGCTCCCAGGTACTCACTGTGTATTTCAATGACCTTCTCAATGGAATGTACTGCATTAGCATTTGCTCTCTGCTGTAATACCTTTTCAGGAATAGGATCAAGCTGAAATGATTAAAAACATGCACTTTAGATTAATTGAATTTTTAAAAAATAAGTATTATTTCAACAGTTGTTATAGAATTCTACATAACCAAGTTATGCTTACTGTCTGGCTGTTAACACTACTGACTACTCACCAATTTCTACAAGGATAAAATGCAGCTCTTCCATTCCTAGTTTCTTTCTGAAAGCAGGACACAACGTTCGAGAGTGGCAGTGCCCTGCCCTTTGCTGCCTCACTATAATCTATAATTTGTAATTGCTGCTTCTTTCCCATTCCCTCAAAAAATGCTGTTGCCTCTAACCCTTTACATAAAAGAACTCTGAAAGAAAAGATGTTCTAATTATCTGTTTGTTTGTTTTTAAATGCAGTTCTGTGGCCACCTTCAGCAATCTAGTAGTGGTGGCTTCTCATTTATATTTGGCAACGTGAAGCAGCCTTTCACTTGGCACTTCCAATGTGTTAATATTGTTTGAAATTTTCCAGTCGGGACCTTATTTTGACAGTCTTCTATCACAAATGAATGAACCTGACCATATTCGAAAATGGCATACTCTAGGGACAAATAACTTTCCCAAAGTGAAGGATTTAAGAACTTTAAGTATGACACTCTGACTCTTCAGCACATTTTAAGGCTTCTAAAATTCAAATATTGACTCCTGCTGAGCTAAAATCTTACCTTAAAGCAGAAACAAAATACCCTTCTGTGTGTAAGAAGAAATTATGGAGGCGGAGTGGGGGGCGTTAAGGGTTTGCCTGCCTGTGGGATGGAATGGGTTACTGATTCACTTTCTAGATTTTGTATTAAGTCCTAGTTTACTGCCTAGAGCCACACAAAACAAACTATGAGAAAGGAGAGCAGCTCTATTAGGGCCCAGAGCAGCTCATAAGCCTGAAGAGGGACTGGGAGTATTAGGATGGCAGGAGATATATAGCATTTGTTGCCCTTGTCCTGGAGAAAGCAAAGCTATGGCAGCTCGCAGGAAGGCTCTGCAATTGTGAAGTCTATTACATTGATTACAGAAACAGCTGAACAACTCTAAAACAGCACTAGCATTTTGAATGGTAGCCTCAGGTGTGATAATACCAAATGTGGATCAGGTGCTTTGAGGCCCAACAGGAAGTAAAGAGTTGCTGACGTTGGTGTGGTCCTCACAATGGATGGCTGTTGTGGTATAATGCGGTCCTTAGGGGAGATTTGTATTGTACAGGTGCACAGACTATCACTGAACTGGTGCTTGAGGTCACTGATCCTTATAGGTCTATTCCTATTGGGCTCCTTAGTAGGCATTGGGCAGACAACTGGCTTGTGGGATTCACTCAAAATAAGCAACGCACACCTTACGCACATCCACAAAGGAGAAGAATCAAAAGACATTTCTTGAAAACATGCTTCCTCAATAGAGGCATCAATAAACTTCTTGGGCTTGGTTAAAAAAACACCATTTGTTTGCTAACAGAAACTTCTACTGAAAACATTTGTTGTAGCGTGGCTACTAAGCATGTGAAGTCCCCATCTCAAAACCACACTTTAGCCATAAATCTAGTTACAGGTAGGTAGCCGTGTTGGTCTGCCATAGTCGAAACAAAATAAAAAAAATCCTTCCAGTAGCACCTTAGCGACCAACTAAGTTTGTTATTGATATGAGCTTTCGTGTATCAGAAGAAGTATGAATGCACACGAAAGCTCATACCAATAACGAACTCTGGAGCTGATCATGGTTGACATAATCATCTGTAGGATAAATAAAGTCATTCTTCCACAGTTATTCCCAAATAGGTTGTTTATTTGGGTCTCTGAGGGTATCCCTTGACCTTCTCTCATATAGCTGCCGTACACTCCAATAGGGAAAAGAGCAAAGAACTGCAGCCGGACAGGGGTGTAGTCGAGGAGGGGCAGGAGGGCAGCTGCGCCCCTAGATCCACAAATATTATGGAAAATCATTGAAAGTACTTAATTATTTGAGGTTCTGCCCTCCCAGCAGAAGCCTCTCCCACCCCTCCCGGCAGAAGCTATGCTATCTGAACTTTTATTTGCTAAAAAAAGCTGAATACCTTCTGTGGCTCCCCCCCCCAAAAAAAAAAGCTCAGCCGCCCCACCCCAACAAAAATCCTGGCTACACCCATGCAGCAGGAAACAGTAGTAAGGGGGCCAGTAAAAGGAGAGGAAAATGTCAGGGCAACTCCAGTGTCCAAACGTATTTCTCGACTGCAGAAATCAACTAGATTTTCCAGACTTCTCATTATCAAGATTTTAATAGGACAAGTGTAGTGCGAGTGACTTGAGGATTTTGGCATGATTTATTATTGTTCTTATACAGAAAATATTGCCCAATACATAACAATACAAAACTGATAGGTTTCAAACTGAGATTATAATATAATCACTGATGCTACTACTGATGGTATATCACAGTATGTGTGTAAAAATAAATAAATAATAAATAACAACTTTGCCTTTTTTTTTTAATACCTCAATTCCTAGCAAAGCAGAAACGCACGCTTCAGACGCATCACAAATGGCTGTTAGGTCATGGCCTCCTTCAAGAGCTAAAATGATTCGTCCTCCAGCAAGACCCATGAGCTGTTTTGTCAGGTACCCAAAGCCTGTGATGCAAGAAATGCAAGAAAGGGCAACAATTAACAGATTAAATTTATTCTATAAAGTTGGAAACATTATAAAAATGAATAAAATTACTTATAAAGGTATTTGGTAGAACCAAGCTTATTTAATCACATTGCATTGCATTCAACTAAGTTGCCATGTGTGCACAAGGACTTATGCAATGGAACACGCCCCCCCCCATGCTCTCCCCACCCCATTCCAAATTTGTTCCAGAGGGTTGGGGGAACTGCCAAAACAGATGTGGGGGGGGGGAGAACCTTCACTGCATAAGTCCATGTGCAAATGGGGCAACTTTGCTGGTTTCTGCATTTGCAAAACCAAAGTGGCCTCTTCAGGGTGCAAGCTTTGGCAGCGTGTACAAGACCTCCCGTCCCAGCCTCACTGATGTGGTGCAAAGCAAAGCAAAATATTGGACACCAGCTTGGCTACTGGAGTTGCCATACAAGATGCCATCCAAACATTCTAGGGACTCCACTCCAGAACTGTGTAGGGTTTACTCCTTAGCCTTTTCTTCTCCTGAAGATATCCCACAAGGCCGCAGGTACAGATTGTTCTTCAGGGTTTACTCCATAAGTCTTCCTCACAAGGCAGGTCCCTAACTCACCGTGGGTTTAAGAGCCACTGGCTACCCTTCACCTGGTTTAGTCAACCAGTCAAAGCCGTTACCTGGGCTATGGCCACCGTCACAAGCTGACAGCTTCTAGGAGCCACAGATGTGAGTGGAGTGCAGGGTGAGGACCAAAGTAGGACAAACCACCCAGAAGGAGTGTTCCCCACCAGAGATCCTTTTGTTGGCTGCAACCCATTATTTGTTAACGTGTTTTGTGATTCAACCAAAACTTTTTACACCTCCAAAGAATTTATGGTTTGCACACTCAGCCCTTATGGTTTGCACATTCACCACAAGCAGGGCTTTCCCCCCACTGGAACTCACCGGAACTGCATCTGGCACCTCTCAGCTGGGGGGGGGGGGAGAGAGAGAGAAGAGAGACCTGACCAGCCTCAGCAAAACCCCGCTGGCACTTCCGGCTCCTGAAGGTGATATCCTCTACGAGCTCCAGAGAGGGGCAGGCAAGATGGAGGTGCAGGACGGCTTTGCTGAGGCTCTTCTGCAAACTGACACGCAGAAAAGCCACGCCTCAGCTGAACAAGCCCCCAGGCTGCTCTGGCTCACAGGCAGGCAAGCCATCACTTTCTCCTGGGAGGAAGAGGAAGCCCCACCCCCACGCGTAGGTGGCTGAGGTAGCCCCACAAGTGAAGCCTGACAGAAGTTGCCTCTGGCTTGTGAGGAGACACCGCCCCCCAAAAAGATATCCTCTTTGGGCTCTGGGGTGCGTCTTCTGAGGGAGATACATTCTGGCACCTTGTGGTCTATAACAGGCATAGGCAAACCCCAGCCCTCCAGATGTTTAGGACTACAATTCCCATCATCCCTAGCTAACAGGACCAGTGGTCAGGGATGATGGGCATTGTAGTCCCAAACATCTGGAGGGCTGGAGTTTGACTATGCCTGGTCTAGAAAAAGGCACCAACTCCATATCTATCTACCTTTTTAGATAGGTCTTTGGGTTTAATGCTGTTTTTACTGCATTTTGTTGCTAATTTCATTTTACTGTTTTTAATTATGCTATTTCGAGGTCTTTATTTTATATTGCATTTGTAAGCTACTGCCAGCTATTGATGAGGTGGGATAATAACGTTTAGATAAATAGAAGAAGGAATCTGAATTCTATGTATAACAGGGAAGTGTGTTTTTGCATTGTATGTGATTGGATTGAATTATATTATATTGCCTATAAAAAAAACCTCCCCAAACTAACAAGTGTAGGAAGAGTCTAGGTACAGTGAGTTATTATTAAACAGGCAACTCAAATAGATAACAGGGTAAATTTGCAAAGAAAATGAGATCACTGAAATTTAAGCCTGTGGGGACTTACATTTTGCTGACAGATTATATCCTCCAAGTGGTGCAGGATGACCTTCCACTGCATCAAAACCAGATGATACCAGCACAACATCTGGAGCAAACTCATTAGCAATAGGCATTACTACTGTTCTGTAACAAAAAAAAAGGAACAATAGAAAGCACATTACTATGCCTTGCTCTTGAATGGACAGCTACAATGAGAATCTTGTTCAAGGGTGCTTTTTAGCACAAAATATAGAACAAAATATGGAAGAAAGGACTAGAAAGGGAACCAGACAGTGCACAAGGGCATTTCTTGAGTTGTTTGGGCCACAATGTAAAAGGTAGCTTGTTCTTCAGATTTGTGATCAGTTGCATAGAAAATGATATAGTTCCATCACATTTCTTTAGGTTGCGGCTAATGATGGTAATCCAAATCACTCACTTGCCAGAGTCCCATTGATTTTGTGGGTTTTAAGAACTTAACAGCATGGTTAAATCTCTGTGATTTCAATCTTGATATAGTAACATAAAGGGGGGGAGGAATTAATGCATGTTTCATTCACACAAATCTGAATAGACTGAAGGACAAGCATCTCAAATTGTGATCTTGTATCAAGAATGGGACGCTGCTTCTCAAGTCTGCCTGGGGCTTTTGATACCACTGAGTAAGATAGACCACTTCTGTAGGATGGGTATTGGGGGCACTGTTTTACAGGGGCTCCAGTCCTGCCTGCAGGGCCATGTTCCGAGAATTCCTCACAGTCCTTGTGCTATGGTGTGCTACTAGGCACAATCCTGTTGCCAATGAGGCCACTGGGATGGTGACTGGGAGTTTTGAGGCAAAGTATCGTTAGTATGCTAGAACATTTTTTTGATACCGTTGTGGAATGGATGAGGGCTAATAAACTGAGCTTGAACCCTAGGAAGACAGAAGCAGTGTGGATGAGGGGTTCCTGCATCGAGAACAGTCATTTGCCTATTCCTGATTGGACTACTCTCCCTCTGAAATAACAGGTTCCATGTTGGGAGTGCTCCTGAATCCATCTTTTGTCACTTGAGGCTCAGCAGCTGGAGTGCCTTGGACCAGCTACAGCTGGTGCACTAACTACAGCTGTTCTTGAAAAGGATAGTTTGCCTACGGTGGAGGATTATCATCAACATCACTGACTTAGTAATAGCCTTCTAAACAACCATCTCAAGGTGATGTACACTAAAGAAAATTAAGAACATTTAAAAACACAAAAACAGCAAATGTATTTAAAACAAAACTAAAACCATACAAAGTAGATCATTGTGGTGAAGACCCATTTATCCAGGCTGTCAGAACAAAAATGTCAATTTCCCCCCAGAAAGTGCAGATATTAGGCACTTGCCCTATCTTGAGAGGAATGCTAGCATTCCTGTAGTGTCCAGCTTTATGATGAATTTTTATGGTGCTTAATTTTTATAGGATTTATTTTTATAGTTTCGAATTCTATGTACACCATTTAGTGATTAAGTGGTTGGAAGACAGATGGTGGTTATCGAATTGAGGTTGAATCCTGACAAGACAGAAGTACTGTTCTTGGGGGACAGGGGGTGGGCGGGTGTGGAGGACTCCCTGGTCCTAAATGGGGTAACTGTACCCCTGAAGGAGCAGCTGTGCAGCCTGGGAGTCATTTTGGGCTCACAGCTGTCCATGGAGGCACAGGTCAATTTTGTGTCCAGGGCAGCTGTCTACCAACTCCACCTGGTACGCAGGCTGAGACCCTACCTGCCCGTGGACTGTCTCGCCAGAATGGTGCATGCTCTAGTTATCTCCCGCTTGGACTACTGCAATGCGCTCTACGTGGGACTACCTTTGAAGGTGACCTGGAAACTACAACTAATCCAGAATGCGGCAGCTAGACTGGTGACTGGGAGCGGCTGCCAAGACTACATAACACTAGTCTTGAAAGACCTACATTGGCTCCCAGAACATTTCTGAGCACAATTCAAAGTGTTGGTGCTGACCTTTAAAGCCCTAAACAGCCTCGCCCCAGTATACCTGAAGGAGCGTCTCCAATGTTGATGGATTCTTAAGTTTTATTGTTTTTGACTGTTCCTCATAAACTGGCAAATGTGAGTAGATGCTGGGTTCCTTACATTTTAGCAGCTAATAGCTTTACCTCTAACATGTTTTTTAATTTAAAGAAGTAAATTCAATTTGCAACTATTCTTTGAATAAGTTGTACTTTTTATATAACAAACATGATAATTTTATGGCAAACCAAGTTATATATAATACATTTCATGCTCATAATGTAACAAACAGTATTTTATTCTGCAAAGGGCACTAAAAACGGGGGTGGGAAGTACTGCGTATTTTTCAATTTCCCCCCACAATTTCAGTTTCCCTTAAAAAACCCCACAACCCTCCAGTTTTTCTTTCCATGGCTTCAAAATTTCTAGAGATTTTAACATTTCTAGATACTACCCTCCACTGTAATCAGCTTCAGGCCTCTATTTCGGTACCAATAGAATATCAAGCAATGTGCTGGATCCATATGAAACTCCCCTTGCCAAAAGATTAAGCATCTTTAATAATTTGATTTGTACTGTTTTGGCTTGCACCCAAAGTCATATTTAAAAACTGGGACAGGAATATTCAAAAATAGTCAAGAAACGCAAATTAACTTGATGGACTAGCTGCCACACTGTGTTACTGAATACATGATTCTGGATTACATTCTAGTGGGCGAAGAAGACAATTCACCTGTCTCAGGGGCCTGTAAAAAGGAGACAAATGGGTAAAGTGGTAGAGAGTGAAATTCTCACACTGACACCAACTAACCCATTAATATTTCAGCCAAAGGCCTCTAGTTTCATAACAGTGTCTGGTTTCATTAGAATATATAGTAATTCCACTGACATTCTGCAGCTGAAGAGAATATTTTCTTTCTTATATTTTTCATAGACGGCAGCTACCTTTTCATGAACAAAGTGTACTAGGAGTTAAAGAGAAGGCATGTGTATCTTTGCCTAGCTCAAAAGGATCTCCACTGATTCATCTGAAGACTTCAAAGCATCTGAATTTTGCATTTGGACTGGTTTGAATTACAGCTCAGTTCTGCATTCTGAGTTTCTAAGTTCATAGTGAAACTGCCTGTAGCTTCTGGATTTCATTAGGGCTAATTTTCTTATCTTTTCTTCAACTTTTGGTTTGATCCCTTGGAAATGCAACGTGGCATTCAATGGGCCAGAGTAACAAGGTGCTGCTTTTAAGGCATGCATTGCCTCATAAGATTGAGGGGGGGGGGAATACAGCCCATTCCCTTCACTTTTCTGCCTCTCTGGGGACTATAAATTGTAAACTTCAAAGAACCTTTTTACATTAAAATGAATATAAGTGAATCGGGAAAAGGTTTTTCAAAGCAGCTGGCTATGAACCTCAAAGGCCACTTGACAATCTATTATCATGGGGCAGGGGGCTTGGCACAAGATTAAACAGGTTTCCAACATAACTTCCAGGCTGAAGGTGTGTGCACATAGGCATGGACTGCTGGAATTGTTTTCTATGGATGTGGTGTGCAATCATACGTTTTTCTAGCAGACACAGGTTTGTGCCCCACAGGGAGTGGGGGATGACAGCTTGGCCAGTGGTGATCTGGCCCACCTGGCTGACATTCCAGGCTGGGCAGTGGGTGCCCAGACTGCGTGGCCTTCTTCAAGGCTGGCTTCATGCCGTGGTGCAAGAGTCAAGGCTAGGCAACACAGATAAGAAGGCAACCGTTCACTCTGGTTTGCCTATGGCCCATTTAAGAGGACTGAAGCTGGTGCCTCTTCTCAGGGAATATTTGCATTCAAATACTTAGAACTGCAGTAGAATTGGAAATGTGAGAGGCCCTGGCAACAGTAAAGAGCAGCAGGGAAAACAAAAGGTGTATTGTTATCATCACGTGGAAGTGGGGAGCACTCTAGCATACAAATACCTCTTAGATCTTTATCCCCCCCCTCCCATTTTACATATCTGTCATCTCTCACCTCCTTCACCCCCATTCCAGTACCACTGTCATCTGGGGCATCAACACTTGCCTTAACCCAGCTGCTCTTCCAGCTGGGAAGAGAGAGAGATGCAGTGGCAAGTTCTGTCTGCCACAAAGCAGAAGCAGAAGCTACAAGCCCAGGAGAAAAAATGTATTTTAAAACGTCTATGTAAATCCACACTTCAAAAGAAGTTCAATCCAGGTGGTTCAGGGGGCAGCAGTGAGTGGGCGCACTCCCTATTCATCACCTGAAGTGGAAGCTGTAGCAAAGCGAGGAGGAGAAGCTGGGAACTGGATGGGAATGCAGTGTTTCCATGTTTATGCTTTATATAGCAATGCTGACACCTAGTTATCTGTATTCAATATGGCACAAGATCCAAATATTTTGAAACCACTGGACACATCTAGCTGAGAGACAAGTAGCTAGTTGCATCCAGCAAGTGCCCCGGTCCAAACTCAGGGCTGTCCTGGTTTTTCCAGCTGAAGTGGATGGCCAGTCACAGGGCAAGAGTGTCTGCCCTTCAACAGCGACACCTCTATCCAAAATGGTACTTAAGTTCTTCCCCTTCACCAATAGTAAAATCCACAGGAAGGCTTTTACGAATAACTCATTCCTTAACCAGGGTAAGGCGAAGCTCTAGAGGTATTCAAAGAGACCAGAAAAGGTGGAGATTGCCCAAAGGATACTGGCAATGCATTGGGTTCTTTTGTGGCAAGGACCAGTGGCAGTATCATTCAATACATGAGCATCACAGACTTCTGTACTGAACATTTTTGAGAAGACAGTGGTCACCTGTTGTGGACAATAAAATCTGGTCTCAGGAACAGACTGGAACTAGTAGTGCAATTGATCAAGCTCTTAAAGAAAGGCCTCAGCTCAGAGGCAGAGCATCTGGTTTGCATGTAGAAGGTCCCAGGCTCAACCCACATCATCTTCAGGTAGGGCTGGGACAGAACTCAAAACTCAAAGCTGAACTAGATGACCCAATGGCCTGACCCAGTAGAAGACAACTTCCTATGTACTGCTTGTTTTCTGTGGTGCTTTGCAGTAAGCGGGAACTAAGCTTTTAGGTATAGCAGGCTTGAGTGCCCCACAGTAATGCTTTGTGGGGGATCACCATAAAAGAAAGGGAACAGATGAGAGTTATTCAAAATAATTGTAAAGCTTTTCATATAAGTTTTAGCAAAATACAGTGGTACCTCGGATGTCAAACGGAATCCGTTCCGGAAGTCCATTTGACTTCCAAAACCAAAGTGAAGCTTCCAATTGACTGCAGGAAGCTCCTGCCGCCAATCAGAAGCTGCAGAAGTCGCGTCAGACATTCGGGTTCCAAAGAACGTTCACAAACCGGAACATTCACTTCCAGGTTTACAGCGTACGGGAGCCAGAACATTCAATTCACAAGGCGTTTGGGATCCAAGGTACGACTGTAAAACAAAACCTGGGAACAATAAAAGTTGGCAAGTCTACCTACTGGTAAATGCCACGATTGTTATCAAAAAAGTTTTACTTCTTGTAAAAGCTTGCATCTCATGCAAACTGCAAAACAACTACAGGCATCAGTAAATAAAAAGTGCTTAATTAGAAGACAACAGAGCATGATCTAGAAATGTGCAGGACATGCCCCTTTTCACTTTGTTTTCCAAATAAGTGTCCCATCAAATGGAAAGAGGTTTAAAGCTGGTTAGAAAGCCAAGCAAGGACTGGGGAGATACAATTTCATATCTCTTGTCTGGAGATCCTTGGAGAAAATGCAGAATAAAAATGCAATCTTTTAATAATGTGTCCCTGTTTCCCGGGGGGTATTGCTAGCTTAAAATATTTTTTTCCCCAAGTGACAATAATCTAAACAAAACTCACTGTGTAAGTGATCCATAACAGTTTGCTGTGAAGACATGTACTCGACCACTGGTCTTTACAACTGTTTGTTGCTGAAGGGAAAGTAATGGCAGTACCTTGATTTAGTGTTGCACACTTCTTCATTTAACATATGTGGCTCGAGATGAGCATGACAACCACAGCCATCTGACAGGGAAGCATAGATCTGCAATGCTCATATGATGCTATAAATCAGAGGTAGGGAATGTATTCACTCCTCTGGTATTATCTATACCTATACATCATGGAAAGTACTTTCCTAAAACTCTCCCCATATCAGGCAATAAGTTCACTATGTAGCACAACAGTACACAGGAGGATGAGCTTAACTGCAATCTTTGCCCATTTAGCATGATGTGCTCACATCTAGGTAAACTGGAGTAGCACTTAAACGATGTACAGAGCACAGATGTACAGCAAAATTCCACGTATCTCAAGTGAACCTATACATTATGACTCTCCATTTTAAAAACAAAAGACACCTAAATAGTGCAAGCTACTTAGCTCATGGATACTTGAAAGCTCTTACTTTAGAGACCTTAGTTAAAACTTCAGTAAAAGAATTATGTATTCCAGACTGTGCTGTGTATTATGATTTCCTTTGACGATATTTGAAAGCATATACATAGAATTATGATACCGAGAACTGTGATTCCATCAATATCTTCTTCCAATCTGGTTATAAACTCTTTGATCAAACAATGCTCTACTTACTTGAATTCACTGAAACAGCAGAATAAGACCAAAGTGGCCCATCAGAGGTGATGGAATAACAAGTAAAGAATACATACGCATTGTGGAACCAAATTTAGATAGGTATTAACAAATTACTTAAATATGGATGAAAATGCAATTAGTTCTGTGCTGGCAGGGGACATTCTTTCTATTCTGCTTCCCTACCTTCTTGGTTACTACTCTTGGTTGTGTTTAATTAAGTCCTTCTCAGAGTAGACCCACTGAAATTAATGAACCTAAGTTAATCATGCCCATTAACTTCAATGGGTCTCATATGAGGAGGACTAGAATGGAACACCACCCTCTGTCTCCTGTTCTTCTAACAATAAGGTAGAAATTTGCTTTGCTTGTAAATCCAGATCAACTGAAATCAATTTTTATTATTAGCACTATTAAAGCAGACAACACGGAGCAACTAGCCTGGAATGGCCAATGACCTGAGGTTGTTTCATAAACTATGGCTTATGAAGTCTTAATGATCATCTGAACTGGGTCACAACTTTGGGAAATGGTGTACAAAATGGCTTTTCTATACAAAGTTATGCACAATGGCAATTTCACTGTCTTTCATGTTTGAGAGAGAATCCTATTCATTATTATAACATGAATGCATGCATGAGAGTTATCAATATTGTGCTGGTGAACAGTGTCTATGTGCCAGTCTTTCCATATTGCATCAGCACCTTGCCACTTGCAGTCAGCTTTAATTCCTTGGTCTCAGAACAGCAAGGTACTCAACATACACACAGAGAGGTGTGTGTGTGTGTGTGTGTGTGTGTGTGTGTGTACACACAAACACGCATACAACAACTCAAAGGGCACATTTAGGGAGAAATATAGGCAGGAAAAGCAGAGAGGATTACCTGAAAGCCGTCAAGTATTCTGTATCTCCCATGGGTGGATCAAGACCACCAGTAAATGCCATGTTAACATTGAAACCGGCACCTGGTCCTATGCCAACCTAAGAAAGGGGTGGAGAGGAAAAGAAAGCAGCAGGTTACACCTCTGGCAAATATTGCCATGCATGGGGGGCTGCCCATATCACCTCAGCAATATCTCCAATAATTTTATGTTGCTCCTACAGTTCAAAGTGTGGTAACACAACAGTTGTTGTTAAGAAGGTATTCTATTTTGCTTTAAAATCCACTGTTTCCTGCGCCATCAGATCAATGAGTGGGATGAAAGGCAGAAACAGCCTTAATCCTTAGTTAGCATCTAAAAGAAAAACATATGCTCATGCTCGTAACTTTAAAATAGTTATTACATTTAAAAAAAACCACACACACCACCAAATTGTCTAAAGTTCCAGTCATATTTTAAAGCCGTTCACACAGAATTGCCGGGGACTCTGGATTTGGTACACTGAAGTAGCTTCTTAACTGCCGCAAATATTGTAAATGCAGAATCAGCTTCTTTTCCAAAAATGTTTCCTGGAGTTCTAATATCCAAGTGCACACATTTTCCTTACTGGATTCAGTGAGCTAAGGATCATCACTGCTGCTTTGGGCCAGAAGCCACTGGCTGAGATTGTTTGCAATAACAAAATACCCTCTTATAATCAACAATATAGCACATAAAAAGGAGCATATATCAGACGAAACCATGCCTCCTGGTCTCCAGCTAAAAATATAAAGACTGTATCTCAAGAGCTGTCATTCTTAAGTGAACGTGGGAGAGCTGGGCCTTGGAGCAGGGTTTTTTCCTGCCCCCCCCCAAACTCAGTTGCCTGAGTTCCTATGACCTTGGCATGATGTGCTCTGTCTATGGGTGCATCCAGGTCAAGGCCTGCCTTTTATCACAAAGGGTCGCTAAGATCTAATTTTTCTGTGTGCCTATTTGGTACATTGGCTTCCACAGGGCCGCTTTTTCATGTTTTTTCATTGCTATTCTGCAGCTTGCCATCCATATCAGTGGATGTATCGGGGGGACAGGACGTTTGTCCCTTCCCTCAATCTCTCTTCACTGGTCCTTTCTATTCTGGGCACGTGTGCAAGTATTTCTGCATCTATACAACTTAAACAAACCCCAAAGTGTGCAAAAGCAATTATTATAAAATTGCACAATGGAGCTGTGTGCTTTTTTGTTTTAGTTTTAGATTTTTACCTAAAGATCACACAAGAATGATAAGATCTTCTGCAAGATTCTCCTTGTATAGTGTGTGTATTTTGATTATAGTCTCCAAGCTAATCCCTTATAAGTACTGTGTGGAGATTGAGAGAGAACAGCTTCTCTTAACTGGGTTGTTGAAATTCAAGTATACCTTCAGCATACAGCAACTGCTAGAAATAGGCACATTCTTATAAGTTTTGGCTACCAGAAATAAAACAGCAAGGTTGTGTGCTCAGGTGAGGAGCCGATGGAAACAGGGGTGCAATGTAAAAGGCCAACCAGTGAAACTTCACCACACATAACCTGCCCACCAAAATTGCACTAACAAGCTACAACACCAGCAAAGACTACAGATGTATAATGCACTATTTTTACTTAACTGATTTGTGGTGTTAAGGAAATTTCTGATTTAAATGTAAATAGAAAAGAAAAGGAATTGGCGTCATAAGAGCACTGCAAAAAATGGTGTCCATAAGCAGCACCAATTCAACAATAAATTCCTGTATGTTACAAAGTATAACAGTACCACGATTTTTCTCAAAACGTTAGTCTATTTCCTCATTGTTTATTCTGGTGTTATTTGCTTTTAGTTTCACTTCTCTTACAAAATGTCCCCAAGTTCAACTTGCACTTCAGGTACAGAAGGTTTAAAAAATTCAACTTCACAGTCGGATGTGTTGGGTTCACTGGGAGAAAAATAAGCTATGTGAGCACTGTGGAGACTGTATGCTGCACGACACCTAGGAGGCTACCTCTCTATGCCTTTAACGCAGTCACTGAAGTCTTAAGAGTAGAAGCCGGGTTCCTCGCCTCCTGGGTACTTACATGACGTGCACTTTGGGGGTACCAGAAACATTCAGTGTTCTTAATTACAAAGAGACTTCCAACTCTAGGACTAAGTGCACAATGGTTCCACAAATAGGAAATCTTCAGCAAAACCTAAGGATGAAGCTGCAGCTCATGCTGTACAGCCAAGCATTTGGCACTACAGTGGTACCTCGGGTTAAGTACTTAATTTGTTCCGGAGGTCCGTTCTTAACCTGAAACTGTTCTTAACCTGAAGCACCACTTCAGCTAATGGGGCCTCCCGCTGCTGCTGCGCCAAAGCACGATTTCTGTTCTCATCCTGAAGCAAAGTTCTTAACCTGAAGCACTATTTCTGGGTTAGTGGAGTCTGTAACCTGAAGCGTATGTAACCTGAAGCGTATGTAACCTGAGGTACCACTGTATTTAGGTTGACTGAACTTGGTTGCCCAGAGCTGACAAAAATACAGTAGTGCACTGTGAAGGGTAAGGAATGGCACCAGCGAGACAGAGGCCCAGTGTGCACATAGTGCATGGGTTCCTGGAGAGATGAAAACTGCTGCACTCTTTCGGTGGTCCTGCTGCCATCATGCTACCTATGCCTATGGCCTAACCTGGGCCTGTGGTTAAGCTTAGCCCTGAGTATCACAGCAGCAGCAAGACCAGAGGGGGGTCATTGTGGAAATTAGTGAAATACCTTCTACCTTAGAACGTGAGACAGCATGAATTTCCAAATATGCACAGGATTTTTGCAGGCTGGTGGATGGGGGAATGAGTTCCACTTCATGTTATAAAAGCATGCAGGTTCCTAATTCCCACGTCTGTTCATGCAGCACACACACAAGCAGTGTCAACCATTATCAGGTACACACTGTCATGGACAAATGTTGCATACCAGCTGGGCAATCAAAGGTATATAGACAACAGTGATTCACACTACTATAACTGCTGGAAAAGATACTGCTCCAGCCAAACAAACCATTACTCATCACATCAGTGATCTTTCAGTTCATGTTACATTTCTTAATGCAAGCATGGGCCCAAAGATTGTCAGGACTACTTGCGTGTAAGAAAAAAGTAAACTGTGTACCAATTCTCATTGTTTGGCACATGTACAGTCTACTCTGCTGAAGCCTCAAATGGTCAGTCATGAACCTTTCATATTCTGCCAAAAGAGCATTCATATTTTACCCTGACCACGCATTCTTATGGTCGCCTTCCCATACCTCCCTTTGTCAACTTACACTATAGGAGTGGGGGTTGGGCAGATTTCTGCAAAACTTTAATTTTTTTCCCTACCTAGATAGAATATACAATTGACCATGGTTATATAAGAGTCAATGTTTTACTTTTCTTTAGTACATAATTTATTTGACCACTAGGATATTACAGGGCAACCTCTTACTTCCACTTCTTAAATAATGCAATGAGTAATAGAGCTTCCCAATTCCAGAGGTGTATAACTATCAAAGAACTCCATGCTTTTCGTAACCATCACTACTAGCTCCATTCACAGCTTTTATCAGCAAATGGCCAAAGACAGGACAGGGCAAGAAAGGCTGCTCCCTCCTGTAAGTACAAATAACAAAACCTTGTAGAGAGTGGATTGTGAAATGTTCATAATTCACTTTCATTAGAAACAATGTATAAATCCTATGTGTTGTAAGAATTGTCCTTTTCCAGATAGAATAGAATAGAATAGAATAGATTCTTTATTGTCATTACACAAGTGCAACATTGCACAAAGTGCAACGAAATTGGATGCCATCCCTTAAAACAACAAAAGCAAAAACAACAACAACAACCAAACAAACCACATTCCAGCCACACCCACACCAACACCCATCAAACTCCCAGGTCACACTATCGAGTTACAGCATTCAAAAAGGCCACAGCTCTTGGATAGAAACTGTTTTTCAGTCTATTTGTCTTTGACTTGATGTTTCTATATCTCCTGCCAGAAGGCAGTAGTGCAAACAGACTGTGTCCCGGGTGAGATGAATCCTGCAGGATGTTATTTGCTTTCCTAAGACAACGGGAACCGTACAGTTCTTCCAAAGATGGGAGAGGATGACCAATAATCCTTTGGGCTGTGGTTATGACCTTCTGGAGCACCTTCCTCTCCCTAGCTGTACAACTGGAGAACCAAGCACAAATACAGTATGTAAGAATGCTCTCTATGGAGCCTCGGTAGAAGGACACCAGCAGTCTCTCACTCAGATTGTTCTTCTTTAAAAGTCTGAGGAAATAAATTCTCTGCTGGGCCTTCTTCACCAGAGCAGTGGTATGTGCGCTCCAAGTCATGCCCTGATCGATAGTTACTCCCAAAAACCTGAATTCCGCCACCCTCTCCACCCGTTCCCCGTTGATATACAAGGGCTGAATGTCCGCCTTTTTTTTCCTGTAATCCACCACCAATTCCTTGGTCTTAGCCGTATTAAGAGCCAGATTGTTCTCTCCACACCAAACACAGAGCCGCTCCACCTCGTCCCAATAGGCGGACTCATCCCCTCCTGAAATGAGCCCTACCACCGTAGTGTCATCAGCAAACTTGATGATTTTGTTGCTGGAATAGATGGCTGTACAGTCATACGTATAGAGAGCATAGAGCAGGGGACTCAACACACAACCCTGTGGTGAGCCGGTGTTAAGGCTAAGGGCTGTGGACATATGTGACCCTACTCTAACCCTCTGAGAACGTTCTGACAAAAAATCCAAAACCCAGAGACAGGTGGAGTTGGAGAGTCCAATCGCCTCTAGCTTGGACACCAGTCTATGGGGGAGGATAGTGTTAAAAGCAGAGCTAAAATCCACAAACAGCAGCCTCACATAACTCCCCGGCTGCTCCAGATGGGACAGAGCAGCATGGAGAGTGGTATTGATGGCGTCTTCTGTGGATCTATTTGCTCTGTATGCAAACTGGTAGTTGTCAAAAGTTGATGGAAGACAGGAAATAATGTGACGGCGCACCAGTTTTTCAAAACACTTCATGATGATTGGAGTCAGTGCAACTGGTCTGTAGTCATTCAAACTACTGATTGTGGATTTTTTAGGCAGAGGGACAATAGTTGACGACTTCAGGCAGGGTGGGACAATAGACTGGTGTAAGGACTTATTGAAGATCTTAGTAAAGACCCTCGCCAGCTGATCCGCACAGCCCTTCAACACCTTTCCAGTGATGCCATCAGGTCCAGCCGCCTTCCTCGGATTCGCCATCCTCAATACCTGTCTCACCTCATGTTCCTCTACCGTGAATGAGGGGCCCCTATGGGCTGGTGGCTGTAATACCGGCGTCTCAGGTGGCTCCTTCTCGAAGCGAGCAAAGAAGAGGTTAAGCTCCTCCGCCAGCAAAGGGTCACCGTCGACAGCACCAAGGTTAGGTTTGTAGTTGGTAATATGCTGAATCCCCTGCCACATCTGTCTTGTGTTGTTGCTCCTTAAATTATCCTCAATCCTCAGCCTATAATCCAATTTTGCCCGTCGAATACCCCTCCTCAAGTTTGCTCTTGCTACACTGTAAAGCTGCACCTCGCCTGACCTGAAAGCCCTGTTCCTTTCTCGCAACAGGCACTGGACCTCTCTATTCATCCAGGGTTTCTGATTGGGGTAAAACCGGATGGATTTATTTACTGTGACAGTGTCTGTGCAGTGATTGATATAGCACAGAACTGCCGCCGTGTGCTCCTCCAGGTCTGAACTATCGAAAATATCCCAATTGGTTCTCTCAAAACAGTCCTGCAGCTGGTGAATAGCACCTTCAGGCCAGATCTAAGAACTCAGGTGATGGGTGTCCTCTACTGGTAGAAAAAAGCAAGGCCTTCTGACAAATCAAAGCTAAATAAATATTGATACTAAATGCCAACTATTATTTTTAGGAATGCCAACCAAAGTTCAAAAAAGTGACTCTTGCCTGCCTACCTATATTAGCAATACTTGTCTCTAGTTGTTGTAGTGACTAGAGCAGGCTTCCTCAACCTCGGCACTCCAGATGGTTTTGGCCTACAACTACCATGATTCCTAGCTAGCAGGACCAGTGGTCAGGGATGCTGGGAATTGTAGTCTCAAAACATCTGGAAGATGGAGGTTGAGGAAGCCTGGACTAGAGGCTGGGGTAGGATGTGCGGAGGGAGATTAAATGATATTTGCAAAGACTGAAGACAAGAATCTGAGAGTGCTGCTTGTGTGTAAAGGCTGGGTGCAAGTAGGGAGACGAGCGCACTAGGTTCATGCGCTCATTTCACCAAGACTGAATGCCGCCCTCCTTGACTGATCTGATCACTACAGCTGACTGCCACTCTCCTTGAGTTCAAAGCAGGGAGCCTCCTCTACTCATGGAAGCTGCCTGCATTATTCAGAAACACAGTTCTGAGGGATTCTATATCACATTGGGAGCCTTCACAAGCAGAAGGCTTTGCACCCCGCCTCAAGGACAGCAGCATGCATAGATGTGATGTTTGGTGTGCCTTAACAAGCAAACAACATGTCTGAATAGGGCATCAACACATTCATATTTGCCCCACCCCCATACAAATTGTAGTGAAAGTCCTAATCCATTATTGCTTGAGTGACCTCTAAGATTGCAATACCATTATTATAAACAAATGTTGTAAGAACACATATCAATATTATTATTATTACCTCATCAGGAGCTCCACTGCCCGGGAAGAAGTTTCCATCATCATAGCGATGTAGTGAAATATAAAGAACATTAGGATCATTGTAGAAAGCCTGCTGAGTGCCATTTCCATGGTGTACATCCTTCAGGGATAAAGATGATATCATATGAGAAGGTTTATAACATGACAGGCTGTCTACATTAACACTAACTGTAATGCAACGTTTCATGTTCATGCTACCAAAGCCCTGCAGGGGGAAGGCTCAGCAAGGCACAATTTCATACCACCAATTTTAGTAACACTAATGTATGGTTAAATGATTGTGACAATGCTTGTTGCATTATGCTTGGTTGTCACATGAGATGCATACTGCGAAGGGACTCACTTTCAGTCCTATAAATAGAAAATGCAAAAGGTGGACTGGCAAGTAAGCATTTCTGAACATAGAGAACTGCCCTGCAATAATTTCAACTATGTATAGTAACATCATCAAAACTAGTAAGAATTGATTCTTCCAGTGATAAAGGATGTAAAGCCTACACACCAACGTGGGGCCAGGTGAAAGTATGGCCATGCTACTCCTTGCTTGTGTGAGTACCCTTCAGACAAGGGTCTCTGCATCTCTGAGAGAAGAGTCCAAGAAAACAGATTGGGAATGACTGAAAAACACTGCAAGGGAAATCCAGGGAACACCTGAACTGGGATGCTGGATGTGCTCTGCTAGCATGGCCCTCCACCGCCCTGCCCTGCCCCCTGTGCTGTCTCACTTTCTTGTTTAGTGGTGGTGTGGCAGGCAGGATGGGAACAGGGCCATAGGTAGACCTGGCCCTCATATTCATTTACAACTGAACATGCTGCCTGATAGAACCTACAGAAGACACCAATCTAATAGTGCCTTATAACAAATAGACAGGAAGGTCCAAACTGCCATGCTGCTAATGTCCTTGATAGAGAACAAATATGAAGTGCCACAGAAATTGCTGCAGCAGCACTTCCTGGGGCAGCAAAACTAGTAGCAAAGCCAATACAATCGCTGCTGGTGGTTTGAGGAGTGGCAAGTCTGTGCACTCTCTCCTTCTATGTAATAAAGAGAAGTTCAACCCATCCACTGCAATCTCCCTCCCTCAAACATCCATCATATGCCACTGGTGTTCCTTAGGATGTAACAACTAGGCAGAAACCCAAGGGGATTAGTTTAGTGTGAAGATCTGGGTAAAACGTGCACAATTCTTTACTGGCTGAAAGGGCTCCTCTCTCCAACTTTCCTGTGCAGATGTGGATGCAGTGGCAAGCAGGCCTGCCTACCACTTTTCAGGGTAGTGCCCTTAAGACATGACACCCTTCAGGTGTAGTTGGACTCCAACTCCTGCCAGCTCCAACCAGCATGGCCTATGGTCTAGAATGATCAGAGCTGTAGTTCAGCAACCCCTGCCTTTAAAGAGCAGAATAAAAGGTAAAGGTAAAGGTACCCCTGCCCGTACGGGCCAGTCTTGACAGACTCTAGGGTTGTGCGCTCATCTCACTCTATAGGCCGGGAGCCAGCGCTGTCCGCAGACACTTCCGGGTCACGTGGCCAGCGTGACAAGCTGCATCTGGCGAGCCAGCGCAGCACACGGAAACGCCGTTTACCTTCCCGCTAGTAAGCGGTCCCTATTTATCTACTTGCACCCGGGGGTGTTTTCTAACTGCTAGGTTGGCAGGCGCTGGGACCGAGCAGCGGGAGCGCACCCCGCCGCGGGGATTCGAACCGCCGACCTTTCGATCGGCAAGCCCTAGGCGCTGAGGCTTTTACCCACAGCGCCACCCGCGTCCCTTAAAGAGCAGAATATATAGGTTCAAATGACGTCTTAGTGTAAGTCCTCCAAAGGACAGGTGCTTCACAATAGGAACCTATGTGCCAGAAAAGAAAGCATGTGATGTGTGAATGCTTTCTTTGGCCCTGGTTTCCCTAGGGTAACAGACTGCCCTTTTAGGGTGCTGTACTGAAATTTTTGGTCCAGTCCTGCTTGTAACAAGCTGAATATCTCCACAACAAAAGCAAAATACAGAAGAGACTTTCAGGGAGATGTTCCCTGGTGGGGCTGGATACCTAACTTGCCTCCAAAGCTTACAATGCTCTGGAAAGAAGGGGGCATCCCCATAATTATTAGCATTTTGCAAATACTCCAGACATTAAGCCCTGTCCTGACTGAGAGCAAAGTGCTCTTCAACTTGGAACGCACGTTTGGCTGGCCTTGCTCTCCTGTCAACAAAGGAGAAAATCGAGCTCAAACGTTTTGAGGATTCGAACCCACATTTTATGGAGATTTAATGACTGCACTTTTGCTGACAGAGTTCTTGCATTTTGTACCTGTATTGGAAAGGGGGTGGGGTGTAAAAAAAAAGTGCTGTTTCACTCACCCAATCCACTATAAGTATTTTGTTCACATTCAGTCTTTGCTGGAGAAGCTTGGCTGAAATTGCCACAGAATTAAAATAGCAAAAACCCCTGAAAGATAATAGATTATTATAGACGTATATGTGGAAAGTACACTTGACAACTTCAGCACCAAACACTTTCCAAGGAAAATGACATATGCTGTTGCTTCAAAATGAGGAGATAAAATAAGACACTGAAATGTATATGAAGATGGCAATGCCAACTATTTAATGCACAGACTATTAGTTAGATCTGTGCCAAACACTCTCCATGTTCAACTTTCAGGTTTAAAGCACTGCATTCAGATTGGGGGGGGGGGGCTTGTTAAAAAAAATACTGGAGGGGATGTTTAGTACTTTTCTTGCCCCTGCTTGCTGCCATTTTGTTCCCTTGTTGTCCTTCAGAGTGATCACTAGCAACTGGGCGCTACTTAAACACAATGGTGACAGCATTACAGACTTACCCAAAGGAGTTTTATTGCAGAAAACTATTTTTTCCTTGGTGTAAAACTTGCATGATTTTGAAATAGTGCTGACCAGCTTTGGTTTAGCAAACTACAGTAATCCAATTCAAAAAATTTATAAACACACTCAAATAGCTTCAATGTAGATAAGGCCTACATCAAAGAAATTGCCCTTGGTCAGATGATGATGTTATGTAATCTTTCAGGGATTATTGGGAGTGGAACAAAAAGAAAAAGAAAAAACCCCAAACCAAAAAACCATAATCTTCTGACTCCAAATGGATGTCACCTCATAAAATCTTGGAAGGGACCCCAAGGGCCATTTAGTCCAATCCCCTGCAATGCAGGAATTTTAACGAAAGCATCCAAGATAGCCATCCAACCTCTGCTTAAAAACCTCCAAGGAAGGAGAGTCCACCACCCTCCGAAGGAGCTCTTACCATCATAAAGTTCTTCTTGATATTTAGTTGGAATCTTCTTTTCAATTTCTCTTTTATTTTATTTATTTACCTCATTTATTTATTTATTTATTTATTTATTTATTTATTTGAGAGTTTCTATGCCCCACCCTTCCTCCAGATCAGAGCACAGCATGGCTTACAACAATAATATACAGTAAGGTCCTAGAATAGACATCCTGGGGGAAAGTGACAAGTGGGGTGCTGCAGGGTTCTGTCCTGGGCCTGTTGTTGTTCAACATCTTTATAAATGACTTGGATGAAGGAATTGAGGGGATGCTCATCAAATTTGCAGATGACACCAAACTGTGAGGAGTAGCTAATGCCGCGAAAGACAGAACTGGGTTCCAAGATGACCTTGACAGATTGGAGAACTAGACCCATTTCAATAAGGATAAATGTAAGGTTCTACACTTCAGCAGGAAAAACCTGCTGCACAAATATAAGATGGAGGCACCTGGTTTGCCATAACATGTGAAAAGGACCTAGGGGTCTTAGAGCACAAGCTTAACATCAGTCAACAGTGCGATTCAGGCCCATTAAAGACAGACAGCTGCCCAATTCTTGGACCTGAGAACCGCGTACCCACAGGACCTCCATCTTGCCAGGAATCAGTTTCAACTTACTGTTCCTCATCCTCTCCACCACTACATCCAAGAACTGGTCCAAGATGTGCAAAGCCTTGCCTGACTCAGTTGGTACAATGAAACAGAGCTTGGTGTCATCATCATACAGGTGACCCTGCTTTCCAATGGCTTCATATAGATTGTAAATAACACTGGAAACAGAATAGAACCCTGTGGCACCCCAAAACCAAGGGGTCAATCTGGCTTCACCCAAATGATACTTTCTAGTAGTGACTCTGAGGTGAAACAAGTCCATTCTATCACGCTGTGGGACAAGGAGTAAGCAGGGACTGCAGGGCCTCTCCATCAGGATTCTAAAAGGTTAGCAACTTCTGACTCCTTTTCTCCTTGAAATATTTCCATTTCAGATGGTCATTACAAGAACTCTGCAACAAAGAAATACAGTAAGGCCGCAACTTACGCGCATTTAATTTGTGCGCATTCAGCTTTACAGGCTCGGCAAAAATTAAATAAAATAAATAAAAAGGAGCGGAAAGGGGGTGGGGTTCTGGGGGAAATGACACTGGCAATCTCACCAGCCACTGAACCCAATGGATTTTGACTGTATGTGATTTAACTTTAAGCACAATCCCCAGAATGTAACCCCCATGTAAGTTGCGGGCTTACCATAGTGTCTGAGATACCATTCTCCTCCTCCCTCCCTTTTCTGTCATGTCTTCTAAATTGCAATGTTGGTTGTAAGTCGGTCTAATCAATGACATTTGTAAGCTGCTCTGGGAGCCTTATTTGGCTGAAGAGCTGGATAAAAATACTTTTTAATTATTTAAAGCCTGCCTCTCCTTCAAGCTCTCTGACAATCATAAATGACTTTAGGAGGCAGTTGTAGAAGGTAGGAAAGTCCTCCCGCTTCTCCAGTTCTCCCCAGTTTGGAGAGTCTCCCCCTTGCAGATGGCATGGGGTGCTTACTAGGGATGGGCGTCCAAAACCAGTTTGAAGTCTACATTGTGTTATCAGTTTCATAATTTTTGACCTGGCAATATATCGGGAATCATGAGGAGTGGGTGGGTACTATGCAAAGATCACAATGTGGGGAAAACTGTGAAACCAGTTAATGCTTCTCTCAATTCCTACTGCGCCTGTTAATTCTGCCAGCTCAGCTTTCCCCTGCCTCATGCAGGGCACAACGAATCACAAGAACAGGTGCTGGCCAAAATCACAATGCAGGAAAAACCATGAAGCCAGCCAATTCCTCTACATGGCTCCATCCTTATTTCAGACATCGTGCTATATCAATATGTCATGGTGTTTAGCTTGTGATATATTGCAATGTTGAAAGCCAGATATCGCCCAGCCTAGTGAGCTGCTGAATGGAGCACTGAACTTCTGACTGGGGTATACCTGGGTGAATTCCAATGTACCATTCCACTTGTGAAATGTTTTTGTTGCCACAGAGAACGCTACAAACTTAATTGGTCCCCCAACACTACCTTCCTTGCTAGTCTACAGAGTTTTCCTAAACCTTTGGAACAGATTTTCAGAAGCTACAGGGAGCTACTGAAGGAAGTAGGAATCAGCAAAAAAGAGCTTTTATTCTTCTATTTAAATGAATGCTCCTGATGTTCTGTTAACAGAATGGTGTTGGGTTTTACCCATTGTGTATGAAAAAGTCGCATGGGAAACACTATGAACTGATGCAAAAGGACAAGCATACATGCAAACTGCAAAACAAAAAAACAAGCTCAGTATTGACTTGGAGGTTTTTTCAGGTGAAAAAGACACCCCTGAAACTTTCAGCTCTAAGTTCTGTGAAAACACTAGTAAACGTAGCCAAAGCACAAACACATACTCACATGGGTGTGCTTTCTTCAGCATGGTGACCAGGAGGTCGAACTACGGCAAATCCATTCTACCAAAACAAAACCACATAAATTTCAACCATATTTAAATAATTGTAGCTAAGTCGCTATGTAGTTTGTGACATATTCTGCGGGGTTCTCCCCCACCCTCAGTACACAGATTCGGGGGGGGGGGAGGGTAGAAAACCAACCCACCAAAACCAAATTCTTTTACCTTTTAAAATACAGAAAAAATGTTTTAGCTGCTTCTTAAATTTTAGGCATGCTGCTGAAATCTGGGACTATTTCAGTAAGGATTACAGTTTACATTTGCACACGATTTATAAAATACAGTCCTCGTGACCAAGTTATTCTCAAATCTACAAAGTAATAAGCAAATCATCATTAGCATCATACTAACCTTTAGCTCCCCTGTAGCCACTTTAAAAACAAGCTCTATAACACAACCAACAGCAAGGCGAGCAGCACTGAAGGAATGGACCTCATTCCAAATTGTATCACTGTCAACCTACATAAAACAGATTCACATCAGTAAAGCTATTTTTCAAAGTCACAGACTTGTGTACTAAATTCTGTGGTTATGTTACTTGTGTAAGCTGCTTAATCATAATTGTGCTAATCATCAATATCTGATGGCACAATTCTTGCATTTTTGTCAAGTGAGATCAAACAAACCACAACGCTAGGACCTAGAAGTGGATCACAACCTGACTTATGACGGATTGCAACAGTGACATCACCATTCTATCTCTTGTTTGCTTGTTGTTGTCTAGAGAGATCCATTAGGGAACTGTTTTAAGATGATGACTACAAGGACACTCCTTAGGCACCGTTTGGTGGGCTGCTACCATCCTAGATGAGACAAAGGGCAGGACCCAGTTTTCTTTTCTTCACAAGTAAGAGAAATGGCAAATGATCAGGTGCATTAGTTATCCAGCACTTTCTTGGAACTGGAAATAGTGCAGTTCATTCTGTATTTTATAACTAGCCCAATCAATGAATGATTTAAATGCCTTATATATTAAAGCATACTGTAGTTATCAAATAACATTACCACCACCATCATTATTAATAAGCATTGTTAGCTACATTCTAGTTGTGTTTTAACTGCACAAATATTCCCATAAAATAGAACAATAAAACCATAAAATCTCAACATAATAAAACGTCAGCAAATTTCACAGGACATGTTAACAGAACAGCTGACACATTTGTCCACAAAAGGAACAAATATAAATTTAAAGGTTTAAAAGGTGCTGGCAACAAGGACGGTCATAATTCCAGTGAAAAGGAGTTCCACAACTGGGACACCATAATAGAAAAGGCTCTGTGCTGTGTCACAATGAAGCTGGGCATTTGTCTGTTATTATTGGGAGGTGTTTTCTGGTCAGAGGCCTTCCGTCTATGATATAAACTGATTTTCCCAATTGGAGTATAATTGGAATGGCGTGTGAGATTTTGTACTTGGCTATGTAGTGCTGCTTTAGGAATGCCCCTAATCGTTATAATCGTCTTTCATATGGTGAACCAGAAATTTCTTTTCTAATCTGAACTCTTTACATATCATCAACACTGTTGTATTTTACAATATTTTGGGTACATCTGGTATAAAAAAGTGTCTGTGTGGTTTATCTTAAATGAGGCAAGTAAAAGGTATACTAGTTATGTAACAGGAACACGGTATCCTTCTGGACCGAGGAGTTAGGAGCTGGGGGCACTGTTATGTTGCGGTTCTGCTTCTTCCTCCTGGGCCATGTCTAGAAAGTTTTCATATATGCTGTAAGCCACCCAGAGTGACTGGCGAAACTCAGTCAGATGGGAGGGGCATAAATAATAAAATTATTATATTATTAAATATTAACCTGCATTTAGTTTATAATTACACAAAACTGCATTGAGAGAATGTCAAGCACTCCCTCAAAGTCTCAAATAACTGCAGTAGTTGGAAGAGATGAGGGAACAGCCAACATGATATATACAGAGATAAATAGACTGCTGAACCTGCCATGAAGGAGGCTTTGTGCAATAGGTAAGAGCCAAGGAGAAGCAGTGTCACCAATACAAAGCAATTTCAGACCGATTATACTGTTAGTTACAATAATCAGTGTTTATTTAGTGAAAATAGTCATTCTGTGTTGCATCCATTGGTGACTTTTGAGTTGATAAAAGTCTCTTTGATGCAGGAGGGGTTTTCATATGAGGAATGGAGAGGGAGCAGATTTTTTATGATTCCCCCTCACAGCTAAGTTCCCTACCCTCCAACACGGGTTCCAGAGGCTTCAGGAAAATGTTCCAAAGGGCAAAGGGGCATAGGTGAAAAATCACCTCCCCGTTCTGCTGATTCTACTGGTGAGAGGCCTCATAGGATCAAAGAGCATTCTGTCAGTGGAGGAACACCACTGGATGCAACACAATTATTTCATGTAAAGATATTCTCCCTGCTTTAGATCTTACTTCTGCAGCAGTCTGTGGTGCAGATGAATACTATGTTATTCAATCACTTTAGCTATACACAGTGGGACTCTAACCTACGAGATACACACATTATTTTCATGGGGGAGGGAGTACTTACCCCAACGCCACCACAAGGGAGCCTGACAAACATGGATGTTAAAGAGCCTGGGGGAGTTAAGAGGAGAGCAAAAAACTGTTGAAACTGCACAATTCTCAGGCTTTTAGGCTAAGCATTTTATGAACATGCACCTGATGTCAGCTGCAGCAGAAACCTGCCCATTCACAGAATATTAAGTGTGGCATGTATACATCTACCTTCATTTGCCTCTTTCTTACACCTGTCGACTTTTGTTTTCCATAAGCCTTCAGTCTAGAATAGATTCTCCTAAACTAAATTCCAATATATTCTGTGTCATCCTAGTGACTTGTTATGGGTTGCAGTATTTATTTAAAGGGCATAATAGTGCCCTGGAATGGTTACAAAACCTTTCTCTGATTTATATACATCTTAATGCATTTTCAATCTGTTTTTTAAAAAACCATGCACATCTCAAAGTATATACAATTCTGAACAGGGCTCCAAAGCAATTTCAAGAACATCCACATTCTCTGAAGACACTTCAGAAAAAGAAAATCATATCCGTATCATTCTGTCTGAGGGTATTAAAATGTTACCAGCAATTTAACAGAAACAAAAATCCAATGTGATAGTCAGATCATTCTGGCTCCAACTGAATATAATGGTAAGCCATGGTTAATGGTTTATTGCAAACACACCAAATGTACCACAAACACAGAACATGCCTAATTTACTCCTCCACATGAGCAAGCATGAGCAACCAACCATAATCCTCAGCTTGTTATATCTGAACTGGAAATCATGGGTTGTCTTTGCTCAAATAAATCATGATCGATAAAGCCAAGGACATTTGACTTTCCATTGTGGTTTCTTTGGAGTGAAACAAACCTAGTCCCTGGGTTCCCTGCAACAATAAGCCAAGCATTGTGGTTTATGGCTCCTGCTCACTAATGGAGAGGAGCAAAGTGGAAACAATCTGTGGATTCATGGTAAACCATAAATCATGACTTACCTTGATGTGCAAATGCACCAAACATGCAGTTTTCAATGAAAAGCACAACACTAGTGGCATCAGAATTGTTTCTCTATCAGCCTCTAATCAGAAAATGGCAAACCAATGCATATTGGGAAATATATGTAGGGGAAATGTCAGGGCACATATATAGGAAACATCTATTTTATGGGGGGGGGGAACTAATGCAGAAATTCCTATGAAGAAGAATGAAGTATATTATCACACATTTCTTGATTTCCAAGATAATAATCTCCATGAGGATATGGCCTGATTGCTTTGTTCTCAAAATTGGCTAGATGATAAAAATTGTGGCATTTAAATGAGAATCATCAATTATTCTATCATTTGCCACTCCACTAATGTGTACCTTTCCCCAGCTGTAGCAGCAGCAATTGTGTGTTTACTTTCAACTTCTTCAGAAAACCTTATACCATTTTTCCAAATCCATTATGATCACACCAGAAAAAAATCACTTCCTGTTCCTAAATAATTGCTGAAATGTCAATCTATTGTTAACAAATGCACTACGTTGCTATTTTAAAAAATCACAGTGTGCTATTTTTTGGCCCGGAGTGCTAATTCAAATGAAAAAAAGAGAGTGCAAAATATGGTCTGAGGCTCAACATCAAAAAACCTAGGATCATGGCCACTGGTCCCATCACCTCCTGGCAAATAGAAGGGGAAGAAATGGAGGCAGTGAGAGATTTTACTTTCTTGGGCTCCATGATCACTGCAGATGGTGACAGCAGTCACGAAATTAAAAGATGCCTGCTTCTTGGGAGAAAAGCAATGACAAACCTAGACAGCATCTTAGAAAGCAGAGACATCACCTTGCCAACAAAGGTCCATATAGTTAAAGCTATGGTTTTCCCAGTAGTGATGTATGGAAGTGAGAGCTGGACCATAAAGAAGGCTGATCGCCAAAGAATTGATGCTTTTGAATTCTGGTGCTGGAGGAGACTCTTGAGAGTCCCATGGACTGCAAGAAGATGAAACCTATCCATTCTTAAGGAAATCAGCCCTGAGGGCTCACTGGAAGGACAGATCCTGAAGCTGAGACTCCAATACTTTGGCCACCTCATGAGAAGAGAAGACTCCCTGGAAAAGACCCTGATGTTGCAAAAGATGGAGGGCACAAGGAGAAGGGGACGACAGAGGACGAGATGGTTGGATGGTGTTCTCGAAGCTACGAAGATGAATTTGACCAAACTGTGGGAGGCAGTGGAAGACAGGAGTGCCTGGCGTGCTCTGGTCCATGGGGTCACAAAGAGTCGGACACGACTAAATGACTAAACAACAACTAATTCAAATACCTCACAGGTTGAAGTGTAAATGGGCTAACTTACTAGCCCAGTGTGTCACATCACTTAAAAACAAACAAACCTGAATGAGGCTACTTTGACAAGGCCAATTGTCTCTAAAATTATATTATCTTAATTATTTTTTATTCTTGTACAAAAATTGTCATTGTCCAATACCACATACTTACTTAGGAGTAAGCCCATTGTACTCAGTGGGACTACTTACTTCCAAGTTCACATGCATACAACTGGGCTCTGTAAGGTTTTCCAAAATTGCATCCAGGAGCCCAACCAGCTATAAACCTTGAAGTTTCAAATATTATCAGATCACATTTTGAGGGTGCTCTAATTGACTTTTTGCACACCATTTGCCTAATTTCCCTGATATTCCAGGATTATTAAATTATTTGTTGGGGTAGCATGGAAATATGGAATCTGATCAGGGATTTATTAGCAATTATTGTAGTTGTTTTAGTTTACATTTCTTAAAACATAACTTAAGATTTCTATTTGTTCTTAAAATGTGGTACACAGTCACGCCTTCAACATCCCATTTGCTTGCTTTGTTCTTAGCCTGCCACTGTAAGTTTTTTGTTTCTGTTTTAAATGTGGCTAGCACTATTTAAAATCTGGCTATGATTTTCTAGGCAACACACAAGATACATACAGAGATCCCTTACAAATGAATAAGGCTTGATAAACATACAACAGCTTATCAATTCACCTCATTGGAGGAGGATGTGGTGTGTGTGTGTGTGTGTGTGTGTGTGTGTGTGTGCCTACGTGTATATCTGTGAGAAAGGTCCCTGGAAAAAAGCATTCTCCTACAACAGCTTATATAGACTTGAATGCAAATGAAGATCACAGAACTTTGGATTGAAACTCAGATAAAAAGGAGTAGACCATCATCATGTCCCTTGCATATCTCTATATGCAGAGATTACTAGAGTCAGGATGTATAGATTGATGCTCAAGGATGTAGAGAAGACTAAACGCCCTGCTGTACCTAACAGTTTCTTGCTGTCCAATTTCTGCCTATTCAGAGGGTTGGTACCATAAAGCAGGGTGTGGGCTTCTGAATGAACAGTCTGTAGTTCTTCTAGGGTAGCTTTTCTTCCACGGATACACTGCAAAAGAAAAGAAAACAATGAATTACATTTACTCTTAAAAAGCAGCAAATAGGGGGAAATATAACTGAAGTTAAACATAGGTTTATTTTCTCAGCTTATGTTTCATTTCCACATTTTTATTCTTAAATTTTTGAATTTCTTCTTCTCAAACTAAGCCAAGAAATTTAGGATGTTTTATGAAAACAGGTTTTTGTTATTCTGGCTACTGAAAATAACAAAAACAATTCATGAGCAATTAAACTGTCTCAGCAGGGCTCACTGTGTTGAAATAATGTGGTAAAACTTGAAATAACTAAGTAAGACACATCAAATAAAATATTGCTTGACTATTACTCATCTGGTGCACACAGGAAAAACAATATGTAGCCTTTTGATACCAGCTAATATGAGAGGATCGGAGTGGGTCTTAACACCCAACATATTTGTATTTAACAACAGTTTGATCTTGTGGACTCTTTTCTCTTTTCTCCAAATTCACTCAGATAATAACTAAATGAAGTTTAAAAAGGACTTGCACTGCAAGTTTTCCCTGGAGTTCCTTTCCCACATATTCAAGGCCTCTGATCTGAGATAACAGAAATGGATGAATGAATGAATATTGTATCTTAGATTGTTTGCAGTAACTATGCAGAGATAAACCACTGGACCCAGACTATGACCAACTCACACTCGGATCAGGCAATAAAATCTACAATAATGGTCTGGTATGCACATCACACTACATGAAATCATGGCTTAGTGCAATGCACAAGCAATTGGGCTCCAGTAGAAAAAACTGTGGTCACTGCATGCCTCCCTAGTTTGGTTGCTGCACTGTGTTGAGCTAAACCATGGTTTGGTTTAGTGTGCTTATGTTTAGCTTTTCCAGATAAACCACAAGCCCTAAGTCATAGGCCAAACCTTGGTTACACTTAATGGTTAATCTCAAGAGAGCTAAACCACCAGCCTGAATTCAGATGACACACAAAGTCAAACCATGATTTAGCTTATCACAATGCTAGAGCAAATCAATGTGGGAGTTGGGGGAGAGAAGCACAGCAGCCACAATCTCTTCTCTGGGAGCCCACACAGTCACAAGAAGACATGGTTTGGCTTAGTGTGAAATGCAAACCAATTATGAAAATGCAAGTAAATTAAGTATTAACAAACTAGTCAGAAATTTCAACCTGTGCATCTTTAAAATAAAACCTAATAGGCTTAGAATAAGTCACATGAAATTGCAGAGTTTTCCCATGTATGTACTATGAGGTTGGTGTACACATGCAACAAAATGAAGTTGTAGAATCCCTGTGCTGTAGAGGGTTGGGTAACCTTTGACCACAGCTCTATTTCTGAAGGCCTGACCGTGTAAAAACAACAACAGCACTCCACAACACTAGCACATCAGACAGGAAGGTTCTATCAGCATGCTGCATATATAAATTATATATATGGGCAGGCCTCATTTCCCCAGTATCACAAGTCTGTTTGCCTTTCCCCGATTCTATTAGGCCATCCATTACCTCACACTTGCTACGAAGACCTGTCTCCTGAAGCCGGGACCAAATGCTCTGGATTCTCCCTGCATGTTCTGGGTGACTGTTTGTGTTGCCGCAAGTGCACTGGTGTTTCAGCATCAGAGTATCATACACAAGGCCTGCATTAGAGGATACAAAGTAACTCAGGCTGCAATCCTGTACTTATTTACCTGGGAGATAAACACTTCTGAGTAGGTGCATACAGAACTACATTATTAAATGCACTATTATTATATGTGCATAGAATGTATTATTTGAAGTAGAGTATTTTGAATTTATTTTTGGACACAGCTTTACCAAAAACATGGGACGCGGGTGGCGCTGTGGATTAAACCACAGGAGCCTAGGAGTTGCTGATCAGAAGGTTGGTGGTTCAAATCCCCGCGATGGGGTGAGCTCCTGTTGCTCGGTCCCTGCTCCTGCCAACCTAGCAGTTTGAAAGCACGAAGTGCAAGTAGATAAATAGGTACCGCTCTGGCGGGAAGGTATACGGCGTTTCCGTGCGCTGCTTTGGTTCACCAGAAGCGGCTTAGTCATGCTGGCCACGTGACCCAGAAGCTGCACGCCGGCTCCCTCGGCCAATAAAGCGAGATGAGTGCCACAACCCCAGAGTCAGTCACAACTGGACCTAATGGTCAGGGGTCCCTTTACCTTTAACCAAAAACACAAAAAATAACCTGGGCAACAGAAAAAGGATGGGCATATTTTTGGCATATTCTGGTGCTAGTGTCGAAGTTTCTTCTCTCTTCTACTGGCATCCAGTGAGAAGAGACAACAGTTCTAATTAAATCCAATTGGGGGGGGGCATTGAGAGAAGGGAGGTTACAGGGAACCATTCAGAGGGCCTTCTTGGTAGTCATGCTCACCCCATGGAACGCCATCCCATCAGATGTCCAAGAAATAAACATCTATCAGACTTATTATAGAAGACATCTGAAGGCAGTACAGGGAGGTTTTTATGTTTGAAGTTTTTTTTTTTTTTTTTGTATTTTAATACTTTGTTGGAAACTGTCCAGAGTGACTGGGGTAACCCAGCCAGATGGGCAGCATATAAATAACAACTTCATCAGCATTACCATCGTGTGAAGATATAGCAAGGTTGTGTCTGTGTCTTGGTGCAAGAAGGACCCCAGCCCTAACCCTACCAGAAGCCTCCAAACCACTCTCCCCGCTGCCCACCCATCCACATCTTTTCTTTTCTTACATCTGACCACTGAAAAATACAAATCTCACCATGCTGGAAGGAAAACAGTGTTCCTTAGAATATTCAAAATATATTATTTTTAATTCTGGATTCTGTTAGCCAAGTGAGCCCTCCCATTACTGGTTACTCATTCCTCTTCACAAAGGAGGTGGGGGAAGAGAGAACTGATGGGGGAACAGGCAGGGGATGTGAGGGCTGCATACACCCTCCACATTTTGAAAATATTCGTAGAGGATGCTTGCAAAAGCTCTCAATGTTTTTTGTTTCGTTTTTTTCTTAGTATTTGGCCAAAACGTTTGCAAAATTCAAAAGGTTTTCAAGTCGGAGGTGGGGGTGAAGGAGGGCTATGCCACTCAACAGTTTTCCAAGAAGAGCAGCTTTTAAAAGTTTGTTTTAACCAAAGGATGAGCAATGGTCATGCTGAATGTAGTTTTATAAGAACCACAGCTCCCACGGGTTTTGATGCTTTCTACCAAAAAGGTTTCAAATATGATGATTTGTTATAATTTTGCTGACTGGCTCAAAAGACACAGGGGTGAAATAGGACTTCCAGAGACAACTTGTTGGGGTTTTTTCATTCTACTGCCTTTGACTCTCCTCTTCCTTACCACCTGGTTCTTATCAGGAAATTCTGCACCATACCAAGATAATGCTGTTGTTGTTGTTTTTTTTTGGGGGGGGGTTCTGTGCAAAGGAGGATACTAAACTGCTTATGGCAACTTTGCCTCAATGAAGCAAATCTTGACCTACACAACTGGCAAATACATTTAGAAGGCTAACTGTAACAAACTGAACTTACGGTGAATTTAATACTGTGAGAATAGTTCTGTCCATTACCTGTTGTGAATTGTGGCTTGCAGGGTGGTTCCTGTACGGACATGGGAAAGTTGGCAGAGGCAGGTGAAGACTGGGCACGAGAAAGTGGCCTATGTCCTCCAAAAGACACTGGGATGCCAGCAGCTTCCACTGACGCCTGGTAGTTCCTCAGCTGAAGAATCCGTTGCTGTTCCAGTAGAAGTGCTTGCTGTTAGGGAGGATGAATTGTCATTGCAAACACAAATTAAAATGATACAATGAATAAAATCACTGGTGCAGCTACAGAGAATCAGAATTGTAGAATTGGAAGGGACCCAGGGATCATCTAGTCCAGGCTTTCTCAACCTTGGGTCCCCAGATGTTTTGGGCCTGCAACTTCCATCATTCCTAGCTAGCAGGGCCAATGGTCAGGGATGATGGGAGTTGTAGTTCAACAACATCTGGGGACCCACGGTTGAGAAAGGCTGATCTAGTCCAATGCAGGAATCGCAACATGTGGCCCACCATCCAATCTGAAACCATACCAGATCCTGCTTAGCTTTGCAAATGTGCTAGCAGTTTTATTGCTGCACCATTCACATGTTAAGCCTTTTACCAGTGTTCCTTAAAAAGAGTATTCAGACAAAATGGGTACCACTCATATATCCTGTTAACATTTTGTTTATGAATGCAGTCTTGTTTTTAAATGGCAGTTGAATTAATTACTTCTTACCAACCTTTCTAAAGAGGAGGAGGAAGAGGAAGAAGCAGCAGAAAAAAGAACATCTCTCTTTATCTTTATAATAGATAAGATAAATAGTCCAAGACTCGGTGGGACACAATCAGATAAAGAACCTCTCTTTATCTTTATAATTAATAAAGATAAATAATAAAAGATAAAGAATCTTCATCTTTATAATAATAAAGATAAAATAGTCCAAGACTGGCGGGACAGCAAGCAGCAATCCCGCTCATTTTTTGAGTGAGAGGAGAAGGAGGAAGGAGATGGAGAAGGAGAAAGTACAGCAAGTGGAGAAAAATGGGCAAAGTAAGGGAGTATGGGAAAGAGATGTGACAGAGAAGAACAGATCTCGACAGATAGCAAGAAAGAGAAAAAGTAAAAAGCGTAAGGTCCGAGAAATTGAAATGAGTCCCAACTGCTTGTTGGGCTTAAGAATAATCCTGTGCATGGAAAGGTGAATGATCACTCTGCTAAATAAACTTGCATTTCAGTGTCAGGCAGAGTTCTTTCCTGTGACACCGCTTCTAAGACTGAGAAGATTCAGAGCCGTTCAGTCACTATAAACTCAAGTATACGCAATAATGATTCATATTAGAGCAGAGATTTGTCTCAATGGGCATGAACTACAGGTTGACAGCCCATGCACATCCTTTACCTTTTCATAAAAAGGATTCAATCATGAGGGGTCACACTTCCTGAATACGGTAAATATTAAATATGAGTGCCTGTATATGATGCAAATACAGAGGAAGGAGAAAGAAAATGTGTCCATCACTTCCTTTTCCTACATTTCTCAGATGAAACCAGATGAAGTCAATTGCACAAGAAGTGCTCCTGCCTCTTTTTAAAACGTCTAAACAAAATCACCTTTGTTTCAATTATTAAATGTATTTTATGTGGTTTATCTCCATTCAGAACAGCAAACAAACATACAAACCTCCAGAAATTTTTCATCAAGTAATATTAGCATGCTGCCATTTATTGCACTATGTCTTACCTGTCTGAATAGCAACTCCTGCTCAGCTTGCCTCTGCCCTGGTTCCAGTTCTTGTGGCAACTCTCCATCTTCATCGCTCTCAACAGGTTCTTGCTTCACCTGGACCATGCTGGCCAACCCTTGGACTTCCTTTTGGTTTGATATCCGCTCAATATATGGGTCTTCTAAAAATGCCTGGTGTTCTCGCAGTTCTTCTTCAGTCTCTTCAGGATGGCTTTCATGCTGGCGGGAAGACTCATTGGATTTTGGCATAATCTGAAAACATTCCTCAAATTTTACCACTGAAAGTGTGACCTCAAGAGTCAAAGCAAAGTCTAAGCAAAGAAACCATTTGCAATTGTAAAGTATGGGAGAAAAGTAAGTTTTCCTGCCATTTATAACCAGTTTACTTCTTATAACAAACTCTAAATTCCTAAACCATATGCATGTGATATATTTTAAGCAAAGGAATAACACGATAGCTTGCTCATTTTCACAATTGTTTCATTTAACCACTCAGGCCCTCAAATGATTTCACAGCCTTTAATTAGAGTGTAAACGCCTGTGTTCAGGCGACACTGAGAAAGAGACACAGACGTGCTCTTAGCATGTCTTCTCCCCCCTCCCCGCTTGCCACCAGACTCCCCCTTCCTGCATTGCTCCAGGTATAGCAGATCGGACCCAGGACTTGATCCAGCCAAATCCAGGGTCAAACCAAGTTGGCTTGATTTGGTTTGTGATTAGGTCACATCTGGTGCCCAGCTCTACACCATACAATCAGATTTAGCACATGGACACAGATCTTGCCATGGCCCAAACAGGCTCCCTGGGTGAGTTGCAGATCTCTCCTACCTTTCCACTAGGTTGGACGCTTTGCATCCAAACCACTGTGTATCCTAAACAACTTATTTGGCAGAAAATGTGGGCATCGAAAAAGGAAACGATATATTTTAAAAACTACAGTATTTTTCCGTCTATAAGACGCCCCCTATTTTGGGGGCCTCAAAATGTAGAAAATAGGGGGCTTGAGCTTTGGGGAAGGATTATTTGGGGGGAATGCCGAAAATCGCTCACCAACCAGAACGCAGCACACAACCGCTCGTGTCGCTTACAATTGCCACTTACAATATTGGGCTCGCACTTCGTTCCGACGGGTGAGCGATTTTTGGCATCCCCCCCCACACACACAATCAAGCGGCCAATCGCCGCTTTGTTTCAGTTGGTGAGCAATTTTCGGCATTGGCCACTTGATTGTTGGGGGGGGGGAATCCCGAAAATCGCTCACCCGCCGGAACGCAGCACACAACCGCTTGCGTCGCAGCTGCCTGATCACCACCATTAGCCCTCCTGCTTGCCGATGCAACAGCCAATAGACAGCTGCCCTTGTCGCAGCAAGCGGGAACGTGACTGGCGGCTGCTGGTGGCGATTGGGGAGCTGATAGGTGGTTCTGCGAGTTTTTAAGCGGCGACTGGCCACTTGATTGGGGGGGGGAGATGCCAAAAATCGCTCACCCACTGAAACGAAGCGCAAGCCTGAGTTTTTTGAGAGCCAGTGTGGTGTAGTGGTTAGAGCGGTGGACTCGTAATCTGATGAACCGGGTTCGCGTCTCCGCTCCTCCACATGCGGCTGCTGGGTGACCTTGGGCTAGTCACACTTCTTTGAAGTCTCTCAGCCCCACTCACCTCACAGAGTGTTTGTTGTGGGGGAGGAAGGGAAAGGAGATTGTTAGCCGCTTTGAGACTCCTTCGGGTAGTGATAAACCGGGATATCAAATCCAAACTCTCCTTCATCTTCTCATCCATCGGATGAGAAGTGTGAGCCCGAGATTGTAAGCGGCAATTGTAAGCGAAGTGATCGGTTGTGTGCTGCGTTCTGGCGGGTGAGTGATTTATGGCATTCCCCCCCCCCCCCGCGATCAACTTACAATCTCGGGCTCGGGCAAAAAACCATTCGCGCATCCCACCTCAGCACTACCGGTGTATAAGACGAGCCTAAATTTTGAAGCTTATTTTTGAGTCAAAAAAGCTCGTCTTATACACAGAAAAATACAGTAATTAACAAGGCGGTCCTAAAAGTTTCTACTCAGAAGTAAGTCACATTGAATTCAGGTAAGTGAGGTTAGGGTTGCAGCCTAAATTAGCATGCTGCCTCTGTTGAGCTTTTCACAGCCCACTCGCTATTCCCTGACATTATCTGGAAGCAAGATGGTACCAACATGTGAAACGGCTGAACCGACAAACAGTCAAGTGGCAGGGCAGCCAGATTATTAAGCAGGGGAGGGCAGTTAGTGGCCATCTATTTGACCATTTGTTCACACCAAGGAGTCAGGCCAGAGACAGAAGATTTAAGGGAATGAGTGCCAGGTGTAACATTTTTTGGCTTGTGTGTCACCCGATCCCTCTGACCCAGTAACTTCAATGCTACCCTTTGGTCATTTCAACTGTGACATTAAAGCGTAAGAGAAAGCAGGCCAGCAGATTTTTCCTCTGGCCATAGTATCACAGATAACAAGATGCCTGAATTCCATCGCCAAAGGGCCTTGGTCAGCTTCATATGCATTTCTACTCTTCCCTTTGAACATTTGTTTTAAATGGGTTCTTAGTTATTTTCAACATAATTATGGGACAGGACCTAACCCACACAGCAAGCAACTGCACACAGCTATGATGGTACAGTGTTAAGGTTCTCTGCTATAAGACAAAACTAGCAGACTGAGAGATTTCTGCTATTGTATGAGATTGAAACACTGGGAACTGTCCGTTGAAGCCTGAAATTGAGATAATCAACAGTCTAAATCCAGGTTTTAAGCTACTGAAAGGGGGGGAAAGATAGTCTGCCTAGAAATAATAAATCTGATTCCAGGAAGGTCTGCATTCAAGCTTGAATAAATGAAATCTTTTAACACATATTTTGTTGCAATACTAGCTATAGGATCTTTAAAACTGACACAAATGAACAGCAGTATATTTACTTTCAAAGAGATTGCATCACCCATGTCTTCTAATAACCCTAATTTTAAGCTTTGCTTCACAAAGTATGTTTGTAGAACAGCAAAAGAAATCTCCATGGAAATAATAGCTCTAAACTACATCAGTATGCTAATTTGAATGAAGTCCAGGTCTGGCACATGCATAGCAGTGGCATATTTCCAGAAGTACAAAAATGACGTCAGTGGCTTGTGTAATCATCTTGTCTTGCTCTGTTCTATAAACAAAGTGCCCCCCCCCAATTGTCTCTCTTTTTCTCACTGGAAAAAAATTTACACGAGCAGCCAAAGCTTTAGGCCAATATAACTCATTCTTGTGGTGGTTTTAATCAAAGAACAGCAATAATCTATCTACCATAAATGAAACCACAACAGTTTGAAAGCCAATCTGGTTACGGATTTCACTCCAACTGTAAGATGCCTATAGTAAGGCATAGAGAGAGAGGTGGGATGGGGAATAAACACACACCTAAAATCAGGATGTTCATGAATTATATGTCCATTTGGAAATAAGCTTATCAGCTTACTCTCTCAAAAGGTTCTTGGAATTTTAGACATTAAACACTTACATAATTCTTTCAGCCTTCACATACCTCATAAATATTAATAGTCAATATACAGAATCCTTTTAGGAGGAGAGGGAAAGAAAGTGAGCAACAAATGGCCTTAAGAAGAAGGAGTCTGTCAGGCTTTCAGCTGTGAATAGAATTCAAGGTTCCCAGGTGCTAATTCAGTACTCAGAACAATTCCTTTCACGCAGAATGGTATTCTGGTGAATGAATTAAGGAAACATACACACTTCACTCAAATAAGTGACTTGCAATAGAATCCTTTTTATTTCCAACTACTTAGTTTTAGGAAGCCAATTTTGTACACATTTCTAATGTCTAATTTTCCCCTGTGTTTTCTACGTTGATCCTAACAGTAAGCAATCCCAAGGATGAAGACAAATTGACATTACATAATTATAAGCAGTACATATTAGAGCAAAAAACCATTTCAAAACGGGGGCATTAAAATTGCATGAGTAAGAGCCAGCAACCAGCATACCTACCTTGTTAATGTGCAGCTGCTGCTGCTGAAATTGCTGTTTGTGTTTTTCCAGGAACTGCTGATGTTGTTGCTGGATCACTAATTGCTGGAGGGCCTGTGCATTCTGGGGAAGAGGAGCAGACTGTGTGCGCCCCAAAGGGCGGTGTTGCCGCAGTTTGTGTATGGGGGGAGAGAGTCGATCTGTGCCCACCAGGGACTGCGCATGGAGGGGCAGTGCCCCAAGCCCTGAAAGATACCAGTCTGAAGATAATATGGAGGAAAACAGCGGAGAAGAAGAAAGAAGAAAAGAGGAAAGGAGAAAATAGCTTTTGAGTAACTCACACGGTAAGAACGTGTGCTATTAAGCCAGCCACCGTGTTATGTCATGCCGCTGAAAGGTTTTTAAAACAACAGAGATGAAGATAAACAATGAGACACAGTTTGATGTTGACTCAGAGTCAAGATTAGCTAGACAGCAATATGAGGAATAAGTGAGAGCTGTCCTGGAGACCTTTTTTCCCTAAAGACAAGTGCTGTCACACTCCATCACAAGTGTCGTTAATCAGCATATTTCCAACCTGCAGACACCCCAATGTGTCCGGCTTCTATTCACAGAGTTTACTATTTGTGTACTGTACAGAATGGGCACTGAATTCCAGAGCAGGAAGCTCAACATTTTTCATTAGTGTGGGGAGAACATGAAAAATGGCCAATTGATAAAACAGTACAGTCAAAGCTCATTTTGCAGACGGGATCCGTTCCGGAGGCCTGCCCGCAAGCCAAAAATGACGCACGTTGAAGCGCCGCATCTGCGCAAGCATGTGGCGCAATTTAGCACTTCTGAGCATGCACAAGTGGCGAACCCAGAAGTAACCCATTCCGGTACTTCTGGGTTTGCTGCGGAGGATCGCCGAAGTGGGCGGAGGAGGATGCAGAACGATGTTTGACTGTATGCAGATAGTGGGGAGAGAGAAAGTTCTTGCCATCCTTTACAGCATTAGAACTCAACGTAACTCAGTGCAATTAACCAACAGCAAAATGGTCCATTGTCAGCATGTGGCATTCTCAAGCAAATGCCGGAGCCCCAAGGCCTGGGCACCTGGCTGGCTGGCGATTGAAAGGAGCACTGCACACCTACCGTAAGCTTTCATTTTGATCTGTTCCTGATATAGCACACTCTGGTGCAACATTACATCAGTGGCATGGGTGATGGCAGTAAAATAGTGGTTTGCTTGCTCACTGCTCCTCCGTGATATTCCTCTTAGCAGCAGGCAGGATATGGATACAGAAATAGATGTAGATATACAGAATGGGGTCAACCTGCTCCGGTGCAGGTAGTCTACCTTCACTGAGCCAAGTTGAGTCCTTCAGTATTTCCAATGCTTCAAAGTACTGAGAGAAGCACCAAGCACCATACCCACGCAGTAAGTTATCATTATAATTCCTCCCCAATCCTCCTGGACACAGTGTCACTTCAGAGTGATGCTGCATCTGGGGCACTGGAAGAAATTAAAATGGCACTTGCTCACTGATGTTGTCTGGTGCGCCTTAACACAGCTATCACTGCAGTCAGTGCTCACTTCATCACTTGCATAGCCCATCAGCGGCAGGATCCCATCAACCCTTGGGCAGAGGGAACTCCCGGCACTTTTTATTATGCTCCTCTTTCAAGCCACTTTGTGTCCACCTTAATCTCTCCTTTCCACATCCACCATGGACACAAATTATTTCCTTTGTGTATTCATTATCTGTATTCTCTTAACTTATCACACTTTGGTCTGAGATAATATGCTGAGAGACAAAAAATGGGCACTCCATCCTTGTACAAGCCCTTGTCTCCTTCTTTCCTGACATGCTGTAACTGAAGTCTTCATGAATGTGCTAACTACAGATTTTCTCACTGCATGCAAATCAAGGAACTGTAGTCAGGATTGGATAAACTAGGATCAGAAATCAACTCCAAACTGTGGTTTCAGATTCTGTAATCATAGGCCCCAAATTTAGATGCAATGGGAAACTATGATTAATTAACCCAGGAAAACTTCAATCACAGCACAGTGAGAAAAGAAAGGGGCAGTGAGAGGTCAGCGCACACCGGCACAAGGTTTGTACATATCTCAGTTTATTAAGTTGAGATATGTATATCTGAAGCTAGCCTTTGGCTTTTGGCACGAACTCTGAGGAACACACACATGCTTTTTCAGTAAAACTCTGGTTGTGCTCACCTGGGACTAAGGGGTTTTGTGCAGTTGGTTGTTCCAGTAAGACCATGTGTTGAAGAAGAGGGTTGTGTGCAGTTCCCCCATCCCTTTCCACTGCAGAACTGCTCAAATAAGGAGTGAGGTGGGTGCCAGGAAACAAGGAGATTCGTTGTTGTAAGGGTGGAATAGCAAGTCTTTCAGCATCCTGCTGTCCTGATCCCCCCTGCAAGCATATAACTGGTAATACATTGAGCTTATGAACAGTTAATGTAACAAACAAAGCCCCCCAAAAAACTTTGCATTAAACATCACTTACACTGGATGGGGCAGTTGCAGGTAGTCCTAACGTTATATTTGGCAAGGAGGGAGATGTGTACAAAGGAAGCTGCGTTACTGAGCCTTCACGATTCACAAGTCTATGAGCCAGGTTGGTCTGAAAAGGGGGGGAAATGGTTGCCTCAGAAGAAAGGACAACACAAGAACCACATACTTCCTCTATCATCATTATCAGTCTGTAAAGGAACGTAACATTAAATACAAGGGCAAATGAATTGGAATTGGAATTACTGGTGATCAAACTGTGCTGAATCTTCCTCAAAGCTCAATGCACCTAGAGGGAATAGGATTATAATCATAAGGCTAAATATACATTTTAAGACAAAATTGCTGCATGACACTGAATGAATGTCCAGTTTATCTAACTGTAGGCAAAATCAACTACAGTCGTAACTTGGAAGTCGAACAGAACCCAGAAACCAAAGCATGGCTTCTGATTGGCTGCAGGAAGCTCTTGCAGCCATTTGGAAGTTGTGGAAGCCCCGTCAGACATTTGGCTTCCAAAAACAGTTCACAAACCAGAACAGTCACTTCCAGGTTTCCGGCATTCGGGAGCCAAAACGTTTGAGAACTAAGCTGTTTGACTTCCAAGGTACGACTGTACTGTATATGCCAGACCTTGAAGGTTGCACCAATATACTCATCACTCAAGTCAGTGATTTTTATCCCAAATACATAGGAACACAACAACACAAAGACATGTGACATTAGCTTGTTTCCATATAACTAGCCACTGTTTGCAACAGCAGCTACTAAACTTTAGGGGGGGAACAGTTGTTGATTACAAATTAATAGATTTACACAAATACGTTGTAAAAAAAAATATTAGAAGGAATTTTAATATTAACCACCTACTAATTTGAATCTGAAGTTAGCAAAAGGTTGCCTCTGTGTGCTCAAAGAGGCTTTTCTGCTCCCTCTTTGTTGAGGCAATCTTTGTTGCCACACTGCAAAAAGTTTACCTAAAGGTAAGCCATCCAGAGCAGCTTGTCAGGTATCAAGGAAGCTGAGGAAGAAAACCCTGGTGCATTTAGAAGTACTCAAGTGCTGGGGTAGGAAAAGGGGTGAAGATCCATATCACTCACTGAAGGCAGCCTTGATTTTTATTCATATTATTATATTATAATGCTAGGTTATATTACTAAACTAAATCTATTGGATTTAATTTTAAAATCATAGAATTCCACTGGCCTTGAACCATCACTAAAGAGATGTGGGCTTGATTAATGGAGAATATGAAATAAATTTGTGACATTTGATTACTAATCATACATTTCAAACAAGCAGATATGTATAAGCCTGCTCTCAGTGCACTGTAAAAAGATAATTATAGGGGGGGAAATGCCAACCTTTGCAGCACTGAGTATGGCGAAAGAGTTTCTAAACAAATTTGTTGATTTCACCCAGTAGCAAAGTCATCATCTTTACTTTACTACCATCTATTCAACAATACATCACTTGAACACTTTTGTAATTACATTTGTGTGTATTTCAGACCATTTTCATCTCAGTGCTCTTCTGACCAGAAGCTTAATACTATTTCTCATGAAAAATGCTTTAATGATTGGCTCCCAGCATAACCAGCAGGTGTTACAACCTTAACACTTTTCACAGTAATTGCAATTTTATGAAGTACTGTGTGAAATGTAAGTCTAATAGCACCAATTTTAATGTGTTGGGCAAGCTGAAATACAATCTGTAATTGATGCCAAAAGCAACTTCATGTGTATGATCTGCTTCATGTTCATTAATTTCTGTGTCAGAATACTAGTAAAAAAACATTGACGGAATGTTATGTTTTAAAGATAAAAGCTTCAGTTTCTGTAAAACATAGCTATGGTTTTTAATATATTGTAGTTCACAGACAATACCTATTTCTCTCCTAAGGATGCCACCCCATGGAGTGCTTCCAAGCTCTTCAAGGCCTGTTTGGCCCACAGAGAAAAGTGAAAGAACCCTCATAGACATGATGTAACATGTCTGCTAAATATTTTGATAAAATAAAGCATATCTGTTTTGACCGCTCCGTGATTCTCAGAGGAAGGGCGGTATATAAATGTCAACAACAACAACAACAATCTTTGGCGATCCCTCGTAGCCGAGTAAGATTGTCTTCCATGAACATGGTCTGAACAGTGAGTCCGTAAGGGACTGTGGAGGCCAATTCTGGATCCACATCTCCTTCCACAGTGGGGACATTGGTTTCCGGGCGGGAGTTGATCACGGTGTGGATTTGCCAAGCGTGCCATCCTCTTAGCCCTTGCGTCCTGAGTTTGAGTGTCTTCAAAGCCCATGACACCTTTGGTAAAGGCTATTCTCCAACTGGAGCGCTCACAGGCAACTGTTTCCCAATCGTTGGTGTTTAGACTACATTTTTAAAAATTTGCCTTGAGACAGTCTTTAAACCGCTTTTGTTGACCATCAGCATTACGCTTTCCATTTTTAAGTTTGGAATAGAGTAGCTGCTTTGGAAGACAATAATCAGGCATCTGTACAACATGATCAGTCCAACGAAGTTGATGTTGAAGAATCATTGCTTTGACACTAGTGATCTTTGCTTCTTCCAGTACACTGATATTAGCTTGCCTGTCTTCCCAAGTTATGTGTAAAAATTTTCAGAGACACCGATGATGGAATCTTTCGAGGAGTTGGATATAATAGCAGTGTAGTAAAGGTGTTGCGAGGCACACAGCCCACTATTTATATTGCTCACTATTTACATCTTACAGCTGACAAGAAGAGGTCGACTGGTTGAGTCCAGGAAGTGGTGAATGCATCTTTACAAGAGGGAACAGGACCAGCTGCCTTTCAAGAGGTGACTGTGAGGCTACTCCTGGAAGTGTCATCCCTGGGCCATGAGGATTCTATTGTCTGGTCTCTAATATCCCCTTCTTGGGCAAGGGTGCTGTGCCCACTTTTGAATGAGAATCCTTATACATTTCAATCTGGGCTCAGGTCTGGTTTTGTTCTCCTGCTTGATCATCTATGTTGGAAGAGTGACAGGGCAAGTGCAACCTGGCTCACCATCCTGAACATCTCAGTGGTCTTGATACTATTGATTATAGAAGGGGCGGCTAACCTGTGGTTCTTCAGATACTGATGAACTATGATACTCCTCATCCTATCATTCTGTTTCGTATAGTGAATTTTATCTCTAAAAGACTTCTTTGTGGAAAATAATCCCTGACAAGACTGGTTTAGGCTGGTGGCAGTGGGACCACTGGGTCTCACCTGAAGAGTATTTCTCCTGGATGGTGGTCCATAAAGAAGACTATTATCTCCACCTAGCATCCAGGGCCAGGAAATGCATACAAATCCCACATTTTATAACATTTGTTTTAGTATTTTAAAACTGTAAAGCCCCTTTGGTGCCTTGGCAGAAAGGCAGTACATAAACAAAACAAATACTATTTTAAAAATACCACCTGTGGAATGTGTCCACCTCCAGATTAGTTTGCCATTTACCACGATCATCCTGAGTTCCTTCTCTGGGTGCCTTTACTTTGTTTCCACTAATTTTGGCTCTTCTGTTGCATGTGAACCTTGGTTCATGGTTTAAACTCCTTAGTTCAAAGCAAGTCAGCTTCATAACCAAGGGCTTAAAGATAGCTTGTTTTGAAACTGAACAGTTAGTGATAAACTATGAGCCCAAGTTTGCAAACAGCCAAGACTAGAAAGCAAAGTAAAGGCTATTGAAGAGTTTCCCTTAGCTGCACGGGAGAATGGGGAGGGGCATGCAACCCGTATCTAATTTGGACTCATTTCAGCTTGGGGAGCGTGGAGAACATCTGGTCTTCCAGATGTTGCTCAACTACAACTGCCATCAGCCCTAGCAAGCGTGGCCAGTGGCCTAGCGAGGATGGCAGTTGCACTTCAGCAATATCTGTAGGGCCAAAGGTTCCCCATAACTGGTTGAGCATGACATGAAATAAGGTGATTGAACAAGTCATACTGTGAATATTTATCTGGAAAGGTGACAAATATTTGAAAAATGGAAATACCCAATAATAAAAATGGGTATGCACAGTTTAAACTGTATGCACAGTTTAAATTACACTGCAAACAGTGTATTTTTTTACCAGCTTTTGTATTCAATCTTCTTTTTTTAAACATACTTTTCAGAACTTTGGTGATTATACAACTTTCCCTTCACAGGCAAAATCTGTAAATATTGACTCACTGTGACAAAAATGGAAGCATACTTAAGTTTTTCACATTTTCTAATTACAGTATATTCTTAAAAAATTGTAACATCTGAAGTAAAGTACTTTGCTCTCCATAATCTATAATGCAAGTTGGTGTACTGTAGAAAGAAACACAAATGTGCAAAGCAATGTATTTTACCTCTGCCTGAAGATTTGCAACTGATCCAGTAATTCCATTCTCAGTGCTTATGTTACTGGAACTATTATTTGGAGAACTAGGGCCAGATCCAGGAGCGCTGTTGCACGCAGAGTCTAAAACACATTGAAAACCATTTATTAATGCCACTGTCATGCAATCATATTACAAAATAACAGGATTTTCTCAGCATTTCCACTAAAACTCAACAAACTTATCAAATTAACTGGATTTTTTTAAACATAACTCTGCAAGTATTCCAAATACACACAATATTGTACAGAATTAATTATACAATTACAAGTCAATAAAGTAATTGACAATTTATGGTAAGAATTATCATTATATTGAAAAGCTATGAAAAGCGTTCATATTAAACAATGACATGTCAAGATATACCATCAAAGAGGTGACAACTAAAAAATGTTTTACATACGGTTACATAATTTGCCTAGCATTTATTATTTTCTAGTAAATAAATAATGTGGGAAGCAGTATGGGGGCTGCATGGGAAGAAGACAATGGATGAAAACCACCTTTTCTTAAATAAATCTCTGTCCCTTCCACAAACTTGTGTGATGGACAGTCTGGATTCAATTCTACAGCTCTAATTATAATAACTGATAGAGCAGCAAGGCATTAAAAATGAATATTTTCACTTCTGGTATAACTGTTCACTTATTCTAAAATTATAGGAGAATATATTAACAAAAAATCAAGAAAAACATGTTCTCTTATGGTATATAATTCAGTTACCGTTTTATCTGGTCTATTTAGAAGCATCAGTAGAAATTACAGCTTTGGAGTTCAGTTTTTTAACCACTACCAAAATTATTGTAGCCTACTAGAAGAAAAGACACCATTCCCATATCCTATATATACTGACATCTCAGAATTTGAATAGCCACAAACCTCAAATGGACTAACTCTGGGAGGGTAAGGGCAGAAAAATACAACAAATTTACTGAAAGAGAGTCATTGCTCACTGAATAATGGAATAGGAATGCAAAACATATAGTGATTATTGCAATTATATAAAAAAGACATAATATTTATACAACTTATTTACGTATTTTGTAATTTAAATTAAATTAGCTCATGGTCAGCAACCTACCTGTGACATCTAATGGGCGCTTTTTAAGAGCTGTAACTACAGGTCCATCTTTTCTTCGTAATAATGGGCTACTCCGCCTTTCTGCAACCTTCTGCTTTAACCTGGATCGCAATTTAAGATTGGGTTCAGATGCTGGAATAAAGAGAGCGACAAGGGAGAATATAAGCTTATCATATGCATAACAGTTTTCCAGTAAAAATATCTTATTTAAACAACCCTAACACTTGCTATACCAAAAACATAACATCTAACACAGGGCATACTTACCACTGAATTAGAACAGCATCTGAAAGCATGGATTTAGACAACATTTCAGGAAGACATTATGGACCAAAGGGTTAAAATCTGAGCAGCTAGTAATCTATTAAATGTATTTCAAATATTGCTGAAGCCCTCTCATGTAATTAGATAAGCGATCCAGAGTGGTGAAGAAAGCAAAAAACGACACCCTCAGCCATTATATTGCAATCCTATGCCCTCACTTCCTCTGCCCGTCAGTGCAAGAAACTTGGAAGTTTCTTTGTTCACTTGAGAAGGCCAGTTCACAAATCAATGTCTGAAAGCACAATCTTCTAACCAAAGTTAAAATAAATTATAGTTTCCCAAGTATGTACATATAATAATGGAATTGCTGTCTGTTCCAAAGGGAAAGTTTGCACTCTCCTGTTGCCTCCTCCTCCGAGCTAGTTCCCAAGTATCGTTCCTTAAACCATTGTTAGGTGATTGTCTATGTGTACTGGAATGAACACATTTTCTTGGTAGCATACTTTTGTTTGTTATGATCAAGTATGAACTTGATGTTAAACATTGCCAGTGCAATGGGGCATAGTCATTCTCCTGGCACTAGCACTGCTGTTGCTTGTTGGACTATTAATTTAAAATGCTAATTATTAATTAATTGGACTATTAATTAGTTGGACTATTAATTTAAAATGCTAATTATTATTAACAAATTTGGTATTGTAGTGTTCAAAGCACTTTACATGTTATCTAACTGTAATCCTTAAACAACATGTAAGGTTAAGTCAGGGAGTAGTTCCCAATGCAGTTCCATTAATGCAAGGAACGGAAACTTCTAGCTGCACAATGGAATTTCACATTCCCCTCCTCTCCCTGCAACCTCCCAAAATCTGTTATGGGTTTTCCCCCAATCCCTAAGGAGATCACAGTGGGTGAGCAGGGAGAGGAGAGCGAGGGGAAGTTATGCTAACAAAACTACGCCATTGGATATCACCCAGTATTTGCATCCTCCATGTTGCAGGTGGAAGGAATTAGGACCGAGTGAGACTTGTCTAAGGCAACTTAGTTCCAAGATCTGAAGAAAAAAATTCCAGATTCCAAGCTCAGTCTCTTAGTTACCATGCTACACCAGCTCTTAATTTAGGTTCTATTTTAAAGTATGTTTAAAAACATTTTTTCATGTCCAAAATCCAGGATTAGGCATGCTAAAAGATCTAGCTAAATTTAAATACATTTATAAAAAGGAGCTAAATAACTCCAGCCCCACTTATGAATCTACAATATATTGCTTTGACCCTAAATTGCAGTTTCCTTGGATACTCAACCATATACGAATATGTTATACTTGACCATAGTCAATGATGACTCAGTGATAAAGTAGAAGAACTGGGGGGGGGGGACTTAAATTTGATGACAGAGAAACAAGTCCAAATAGACAATTCACTAGACAATACCATCAAGTTAATTATTTAAAGAAAAAGAGAATGTCCTACCACTATTATTCATTTTATTTATAAAATTATTTGGGGGTCACCTTTTTGCTCAAAAATAACTCACAAGGACACTTACCATTTTAAAACTTTAAAATGATAGGGCTGCAATTCTAAGTGCATTAGAATAGTTAAGCTCGACTGAAATAGACAGAACTTATTTTTATGTATATTGGTTTAGATGAGAATCAAGCTTTTAAATCACACAAATTATAACCATCCTATGGAGTGGCTTAAGTACAACACCACAAACATAGTGTAATAGAAACATGTCATAAAAACAGTAAACGTATAAAAACAGCAGAGCTACAAAAATTGAACCTTAGGAGTCAAGAAAGGCCTGGACAAAAAGGTATGTTCTTAAACCTTCACTAGCCAGCTAAGCTATTGAACTAGAAGCTTGTTAGTACCTGCTACAGGGAAAAATATCTGAAGTAATTTCCTCCTATATTTAGGAATTTGACAAGATGTGGCATAACGCTCCGCAGAACCAGACTTTGGACCATGACCACAGCACGAAGTACAGGGTGGGCAGAGATATTGTCATGGTGTTTTGCGCACCACAAGGAGTGGAGGCTCTCACCGAATTGCACATCCACACTGCATTATGCACTTAAGGTTGCCATGCAATTTTTCTAATATGTCACTTAGTGCATTCATAAGCTCAGCATTTGCTTGCAGAGGAATATTTATTGGTAAAACATACTGCTAGTTTACAACCCAAACAAGTTTGTTTTTAACAGAAGTGTTAAAGTCACAGTAATTTGATCAGCACAGCAACAACACTTTCCCCACATTTTTGCAAAAATAAAACAGCATGCTGTACACTTTGCATATTAGAAATAATAGCCCTATTTTCCTGTTTTCTGGAACCACAGCTCTTTGCAATAAAAGCTTTCTCTTTGTAAATAATACAATTAGTAAGTAAGTATACAAACATCCAGCTGCTCCATGACAAGATCTCAGGATCTTCACTATGAGATCTATAAACTGACTAATAGAAAATACAGTGGTGCCCCGCAAGACGAATGCCTCGCAAGACGGAAAACCCGCTAGACGAAAGGGTTTTCCGTTTTTGAGTTGCTTCGCAAGACGAATTTCCCTATGGGCTTGCTTCGCAAGACGAAACGTCTTGCTAGTCTTGCGATTCCCCCCCCCCCCGCTTTTTCACCCTTTTTCTAAGCTGCTAAGCCGCTAATAGCCTTTTAGCAGCTAAGCCGCTAAGCCTTTAATAGCCGCTAAGCCGCTAAACCACTAATAGCGCTAATCCGCTAAGCCGCTAATAGGGTTGCTTCGCAAGACGAAAAAACCGCTAGACGAAGAGAATCGCGGAACGGATTCTTTTCGTCTTGCGAGGCACCACTGTAAGCAGGGCAAATCTTTAAGACTTCAACAGAGAAACGGCTATTAACAAAGGAAAAGAAACTTGGATCACCAGCACCTGGAACCTAATCACAATCCAGCCTGATAACTATGCTCTGCATGATCAGCTAGAGAAAGGGAAAATCATAAGCTGCACTTTGAACCACAAAATGTGCAAGTCTGAGCCCCCCCCTCAAAAAACCCCATGATTAATAAATTATATATCAGCAGTACAGAAAGTTGAGCAGCACTTCCTGGACTTTCGCAGAAATTGTCTGGAGAAGAGCCTTCTCCTGCAACACTGCCATCGGTGGTAGACTCAAGGACAATTTCACAGACCATTTTTAGCCTTGGGTACTCCCCTGTGACTTTTCCAACCAGTTTTGTACACATCACCCTATTGCAAAGACTTCTGTACAACATTAGACAACGTTGTACAGTGGTGCCTCGCAAGACGAAATTAATTCGTTCCGCGAGTTTTGTCGTCTTGCGATTTTTTTCGTCTTGCGAAGCACGGTGTCGGGAAAGTTTTGGAAAAGCTTCAAAAATCACCAAAGTCTTTAAAAACCTCAAAAAAGGCTACCACACCGCGTTCTATGAGTTGCTCCTCGAAGTCAAGTCGCAACTGTATTAACGGTGTTAAGAAAAAGGAAACAACTTGCAAGACGTTTTCCGTCTTGCGAAGCAAGCCCATAGGGAAAATTGTCTTGCGAAGCAGCTCAAAAAACAAAAAACCCTTTCGTCTTGCGAGTTTTTTGTCTTGCGAGGCATTCGTCTTGCGAGGTACCACTGTACAAACTCTTTCCCTCAACAGTTTGCAAGAAAATGACTGGGCCCTATGTGTGTGTGTGTGTGTGTGTGTGTGTGTGTGTGACTGATCCACATCAGTCTTACAAAACCCAGTTTATGTCTAATTTCTCCTTCAGATAGCGCCCAACTTTCTCAGAGAGGTCCTTTATATGTGACCTTTGATTCCCAGATCCCAAATTGGTCAAACATGTCTTTACTAACTGGACATAGTGGAAACTTCCCTAGAGCCAGAGCTCCAATCCATTTTTGCCATTTTCACAAACAGATTCTATGCCATCAATATCCTGCTTCTTAATGTTTTGAAATGGCCAGGCCCTGAAACCGGAGGGACTCTGTCCCATTTTCCCATCTACCCACAACATTTCTGTGTTTCCTCTGATTATGTGAACCAACTGCTTCAACTGAGAAGCTACGCACATGAAACTCCCAATTTACACGAGTTCAAGGCACACATGACCAAACATGCGTGCATCACAGCAAACCCAGAAGAGGTACAGAATGGGGTAAAAATGTTTTGTTTTCACACAAAAGAGTGTGGAAACGACGAAAATGGCACAAAAACAGCACCTGGCAATCCCACAAGCCTTTGCAAGTGCAATCCCAGGAGTACGTGCACCCTTGAGGTTAGAGTTTGAGCAAGGAGGTTTGGAGGGTGTTTGCAGGCATTTTCAATGCTTGCCCTCATATATGCAATTTCACTTAAACGTGTCGTGCCTCGTAACATAACCCCCATGTAAATGGGCAGTTGCCTGTAGTACGTGTTTAGATATGGTGGGAGCAGGAGTATGCTGCAGGTTTGCGGATGAGATTTTTGTCTGAATGTCTGCAGAGGTGGGTCAACTAGTATACCTGATCCAGCGCCGGCATTATTGTCAATATCTATCTTGTTGATGGGTTTAAAATAGGTGAAGTTTTTGTTGACAGTGACACATACGGAAACAGTGATACAATGGAAAACTGCCCACTTTTTAACACACAGCTGGATAGCTTGGAATTTAGCAGTACCAGAAAGGCTGACTCAGCACAATAGCTGTGAGAGGTGCTGCAAGAAGAGATTATTTCGAAATAACTTGGGTGCCCATCATAACTTTTGTTAATAGACAATGGCAATTACTTCAGCCACTAGTCTCTCACATCACTTTCTGGCAAATGAAGAGCTGAGCAGAATGTTAGTTTATCAACAAACTAAGGGAACATACACCACCTTGGATATAACTAACTTGTGCACTGCTCTCCAAAGTGATACCAGTAATATGAGAATTATACTCTGTATGTTTTTATATCAGTTTTAAAAAAATTAATCTTCCAGTTCTGCTGTCAAATTGTCACATTTAAAGTTATGCAATAAGGTGAATTTGCATGACTATACTTCCTTTTTTTTTTTACTCTTATGTTTTGAGTTTTGGTTGTGGGGGGTGGTTCAATTTGATTAGTTGGTTCTTTGGAATTTTTTCCCTTCTATTTCTGGTCACAGCAAAATGGAGCTGAAGTGACTACAGTGGTACCTCGGGTTAAGTACTTAATTCGTTCCGGAGGTCCGTTCTTAACTTGAAACTGTTCTTAACCTGAAGCACCACTTTAGCTAATGGGGCCTCCTGCTGCCACCGCGTGGCCGGAGCACGATTTCTGTTCTCATCCTGAAGCAAAGTTCTTAACCCGAGGTACTATATTTCTGGGTTAGCGGAGTCTGTAACCTGAAGCGTCTGTAACCCGAAGTACCACTGTATTACTATTTTACGTGAGCAGCTTCATATAGGACAAGGGGGTGACATACATATTTACCTGAGTATTTGTTTCAAAGCAGAGGCATTCCTCCATACCCTCCCACGCCCACCCATATGGCCTGAGCTGCGGTAAGCAGGTACACAATACATGGCCTTTTTGCTCAGGGCACAACAGGAGTGCCTTCCTGAGGGAAACCCAATTGCTCCAAAACATTGCCTTTACGCATGTAGGGACAGCATGGTTACCTGAGGCTGATCATTCTATAGTACTATATCTACCAATGTTTTGCTGACTTCCGTGTTCTTCTGCTGTGTCCTGTTAACTTCTGACTGTGCTATTTGCTGTTTTCTTTTAAGATTTACTATCTTACCATTGTGTTTTTAATCTTAGCCACCTTTGGTGTGAAAAGAATGGCTATAAATATTAGGAAAAAATAAAGGCAAATGTACAAGCAAAAGCACATGAATGAACAAAGATCAAATTATTTATGTAACTTTTTAAAAGAAATGTTTTAGAATGCTATGTGAACAATGAAAGGTAGGACTTACCTGTTTTCCTGAGTGGAAAATCATCTTTGGAATCATACATCCCTAGCACAGGATGATTATAAGTGCCTGATACTCCGCTTTGCGGTGGAGAGCTCTGGTCAAGAGAACTATGCTGTGTCTTCCTACAGAAAAAGTGAGGCATTACTAGCCTTGCAGTTTACACTACTTTCCCCTTAAGCAATAGGCAAGATTACTGATAGTTAATGTGGGCTTCACCGAAAAGCTTAGTTCCCCCAATGGCTGTACCAACCAGCCCTGATTGCAATCCCAGACTGAGTTCCTACTGGTGACGGGCGCCCAGTTACAAATCTGCAATTAGAGCTGCCATGAGAGAGTTGATGAAGAATGTCCTTTAAGGGCTTTGGCAAGTCCAGGCTCAAGGTTGTCACCTCATCCATCTACAAGTAAGCAGCTCTTGCAAAAATCAATTTGGTAAGAGATGCCTGAAGGCATGAGGAGGAAGCCTCAAAGCTCTCAAGGACCAACTCAATACATTATTTGACTGCATCTTTAGAGCTCCACCCTCCTACTGTGGGAGGGACACTTCATGGAGATGCTCAGAGAGCATATATAGTTTGTTGATCAGCTAATGTATAGACATTGGTCTGGTTAGGGTGAGCCACTCTATTAAAAGACTCAGGGAAGGGTTTCGCTGTGCTCCAGAGGGAAACTTCATCTTCCCCTTTGGGAAGTGTTGGAGCTTCCCCATCTCCACTCTCTGCCCCCACCATCTGATAAAAAGTATTGGGAAGTTTTTTGTGTTTGACGTTTTATTATGTTTTTTTATTTTGCTGGAAGCCGCTCAGTGGTTGGGGAAACCCAGCCAGACTGAGAATTCAGTCTGAAAAAGCTTGTTCAACAGCTGCTCGGTTTGTTCCTCTTCTCCCTAGAGAGCTGTTCTTCCTTCTCTATGAGACTGTGTCCTTACTAGGAGATTAATATGAACATTGATCCATTTCTCTGTGTGTTTGTGTTAGTGTGCCTTCATCCACATGAGTGTTTTCAGTTTTATGCTTCCAAATATCTAACTTGATATTTCACAATATGGTTGATATAATGTATTCCTTACTTTGTACTGTTGCCCCCTCCCCTAAATTACAACTTCCCAGTTCCCAAGAATTCTCATAATTGTAGACATAGCCTCTGAGATTACATTCTCAGACATCTTGGGTACCACGCTTAAGGTCATGGAGATCTGAATTCATTTAAAGTACCATCTCTTTCCCTATCTTGGGCTGCAGCTTCCTCCTCACATCATTTATTTTGTTATCACCAGGTTGGGCATCGCTTTCCTTTTGGATGAAGACATGAGGCAAAGTAGGTGTTGAACAGTTGGCACCTTCTCTCAGTCACCCAAGAGCCTTTCTCTGCCTTCTCCAGGCAGAACACCTGCCACTTGCTTGTTCTTTTTCTTGCATCAAACATAGCCAGAAACACTTTTTTAAAAAAGATGTGGGTAGCGCTGTGGTTTAAATCACTGAGCCTCTTGGCCTTGCCGCATGGAAGGTTGGCGGTTCAAATCTGCGCAATGGGGTGAGCTCCCGTTGCTCTGTCCCAGCTCCTGCCAACCCAGCAGTTCAAAAGCACAGCAGTGCTTCTTCTTCTTCTTCCTAGTATTTTCCTCTTTCTTCCTAGACCACAACAGGAAGGAGTGATGGAAAAACCCCAAGGCCCTTTAGCTTCCTGTCCAGAATTTCAGTCGCTTGCTATATGTCAAAGGCTGTGTCTGGCAGTATCATGACCCACGTGAATCAGAAGGATGGGGTTGTGGTCAGTGGGCTTTGTAAGTCTTGGCAACTTCTCTGTTACATCATGAATCTTTGCACCTGTGAAGGCAGCACACTTCCTGGGACATCCTCTGCACATTGCTGCCTCTGTCCCCCTCAGTAGGGAATCACCTACCATCACAGGATGTCTCTTCCTTCTCTGGGGAATAGCAGCACTTGTTCTGTGCACTGTACCTCCCACAGCCATTTTGGTGTATTCTGAAGTCTGTAACAGCTGTCCTAGCTCCTCCGGCCCAGAATCGGTGTCCGAGATGAGGACATGCAATCAAGAATGGACCTCCGGAACGAATTAAGTTTGTAACCGGAGGTACCACTGTACCTTTCGTAGGCACGAGGCAGGCAAGTGGACTTATTTTCCATCACATTCAAAGGCATCACATTCAACTGTTTTAGAACATGCTACCCATGGTTTACTCCAAAGGCTATCCCTTTTGAGTTCAAATTTGGAGCAGAGTATTCTTTCAAGCAGAAAGGGGAGGATATGATCTAATAAGCCATCAAAAAGTTGTTAGAAATAGGATGGGGCCACTTACCCATACCAGAAGCGCGGGTCATTAGAAATGCAATGGTTGAGATTCCGCTGGGCCAAAGCTTTTTTTTTATTTAAGACAAACTCTTGTAGCTTCATTTTTACTTCTGTGCTTGCCACTGCACCTGAAATACCAAACCCAAAGTAAATAGATTGAACTAGCACCCACAACATTAATTTGAGACCTACTTCATGAACTTACAAAAGGTTGTCTAAAGATTTCAATCAAACTCTTTCAATATTTTAAGCTATCAATAAAGAATTATTCTGTGCAATGAGGAGTGGTACACAATTACAACTGATGTTTGGAAATGTAAATTTAATCAGAGATTTATCTTTTTCCTATGAAGGGAGGTGCAGCTGAATAGGATTTTACGCACAAAATTATGCCTAAACTAAAGCACTTGTAGAAGCTTTTCCAGCCGCTCTGAATTAAAACCATTTAAGAACAGAAGTGTTGTACATACTCAGGGGTTTTTTTTAAAAGTTACATCTGCAGGCAAAGGTTGAAGATGAATGGCTCATGTACAGAAACTGTCTAGGAAAACCTTCCAAATAAGGATCTTTGTTCACTATATCTGCATAAATATTTCCATTCACAGTCAATCATCTGTTTTGTCAAACAGAAAATCTGGCATCTAAGAAAGTTACATGTTTTCAAAGTCTAGAATTACATTTCTAGCAGCATAATTTCTCATCACTATTTACTTCACAAGATACCAGTCCATCAATGCACAGACAAATTCTTGTGCGGTGAGACTTCAGAAGAGCAACATATTGAAACCTTAGAGTCTTGCCATCAGCAAGACTCTTTTCAGTCTCTGGGTCCTGACTTTATGTAGCTTTAATTCTAATGTGGAATAGCAACTTTCCACATTATTTATTATTAAATTTGTATACTGCCTTATACCTACAGGATAAAATCACAATATAAAAACACAAAATACATAATCAAAATAGAAACAAAAACAACCGATATTCAAAAGTACTGCAGGGAACAAGAATAGGACTTATATATGACATGAACTGAAAGTCTGCAGAGTATTTTTAGGTAGCTTTGATGGAAGTTCAACCACCATTATTATTATTAGTAGTAGTAGTAGTAGTTGTTAAACAGGTTTTCTAGAGGCTTTGTCCAAATTTGCAGTTGTGCATTTTGTTGTGCTCCAATTCCAATTTCACAAAGTCATTCCAGAAAGATACAGTGGCTCATAGAACTGATAGGACATTGTGAAGTCAGAGAGATTCAGAGCTGCCCTTCCATGTTCAGTCTCTTGAAGAAGACATCCCATCACAGTGCGGAAGGCAGCCCACAAACCAGGCCAGAACAGCAACTAAAATATTTCAAACCATCTGGTAGCTACCAAATCACCTGGAGCAAAAGATGGTTCTTCATGAACAGCCTCGTGGGCATCTTCTTCCAACACAGCCAGAACAACTCCTTCCTTTTTTTCTTGTCACATGACTAACAAGCTATTTACTTATTCTTCTTACAATAAAATATGTTTCAATTTTTTCACTTCCAACCCCACCTGCTCTTTCGCACTTTATTTTAAAAAGGAGTAGCTTATTAATTATGTGTGTACTCTCTGTAAATACCTTTAAATGGATAGCTGGTTATGATGGGGAAATGGAAGCTCTCTTAAGCTACGAAACCTAAGATGAACTCTTGTTATACCTCTAGTCACTGACCTACGTGCTTTTATAAACTAAGATCTCATTCATGAAGCCACAGATAACTGTTTATGTCCATAAAATCTGTCTTCTTAGCATACCCAATAATGCAAATGCCTGTTTCTAGGCTGCCCTTGAAACTCCAGCGGGTGCAGAATGCCGCGGCGAGGCTCCTTACGGGGTCCTTGCTGTGGGATCACATTCATCCAGTGCTTTACCAACTACACTGGCTCCCGGTGGAGTACAGGGTCAGGTTTAAGGTGCTGGTTTTGACCTTTAAAGCCCTATGTGGCCTAGGATCCATGTACCTATGGGACCGCCGCTCCTGGTATGCCCTGCGGAGGACCTTAAGGTCCACAAATAACAAATAACAACACTTTGGAGGTCCCGAGCCTCAAGGAGGTTAGATTGGTTTCAGCTAGGGCCAGGGCCTTTTCAACACTGGCCCCGACATGGTGGAACGCTCTGTCACAAGAGACTAGGGCCCTGTGGGACTTGACATCTTTCCGCAGGGCCTGCAAGACAGAGCTGTTCCGCCTGGCCTTTGGTTTGGACTCAGTCTGACCCTTATGTTTCCCTCCCCTTGTGGTCTTGATTTATCGACTATTTTAAAATGAGGCTGCATTTTAAATTGCATTTTAACCTGTATTTTAAATGTTTTTCCCCCTTTCTTTCCCCCCTATTATGTTTTTACTGTGATTTTATTGGTGTTAGCCGCCTGAGCCCGGCTCTGGCCGGGGAGGGTGGGGTATAATCAATTTATTTATTTATTTATCATCATTATTTCTAGGCATGTGAGAAACACCAGGGCTACTGCTGCCTACTGCGCTGAAATAATCATCATTTGTGAAATGGCAATGATTACCACTAGCGTGCGTGTTGAATATGACAAGTACAATAAACCTAGGAAGTGAAGACACCTCAGAGGCAGGTGACTGTGTGCAGAGAGTGCAAGGTCACTAACAAAATCTATACTGTATATTGGGTCTCCAATTCCAGAAAACATTTCATATATTTATGCACCACCTGCTTTCTTTGGCACTCAAAGGGACATACATAGATCCCTTAGATCTAATTATCTTTACATAGTACCATTCTGATAATTTTTAGATGGGCATCAGCATTTTCTTTCCCCATAAGAGACTCTTGCTTCAAAAGGAGAAGAATGATGGAAAGGACACAGATGTAAATCAAAGCAGAAGAGTTTAGTATATAATCCAGCTAACAGATGACTCACAGATAAGGAAGAATGTGTAAATAGAGGGATGTCTTCCAGATACAACAATGAATCCCCCCCCCCCACTTTATTTGAACTTTTGAATTAAGGCTTCTTAAAAAGCAGGCTTTTGATCCTAAAAGCAACGCTTTATGTAACAAGTTCAGCTTTTCCCCCTTCAGATCCTGTTCCTTCACCCACTCAACTATTTCTATAATTAATCTTGAACGAAACTTGAGAAATTGGAAGAAAAGCCTCCTTGTTTTCAAACAATGAGTGATGTTGAGAAGGATACCCTACAGGATTTAGCCACCAATCCTAGTGTAATCATTAAAGGAGCAAATAAGGCAGGTGTAGAAATAACTGTGAATAAGAATGGATGGGTCAGTCTACTGCCAGTCTGCACCTATTTCACGTGAGTTCACCCTTAAGTCCATTCTGTACCATTTCCATGTTAAACTGCAAATTTAGTGTGGCTGGGTGTGTTAATCTGTACAAAAATTGTTTCCAAATATATATTTAATTCCTTTTTTAAGTTTTCTCCTAAAATGCACATTGTAAACACATTTGATATGTCCCTTGACCCAAGAATTCCAACAGGAACATTCAGAAAGCGCACGTTACTTGGGGAGGTATGCATTGGTTCATATTGGAATTCATGAAGATCAAATTCCCTAAGTATGAATAGCAAGGTGAAAATACAGGCTAAACTTTCTATGCTAAAAGACCCACATAAAATTAGAATGACTCTTAAAGGAAGAATATTGGAGCACATATTTTCTGAGATAGTTCCTTGCAACACAGAAATACTATGGATATACCTCATCAAGTCTCTCATGGATGCAGCCCATGTGTACAGGACCAAGGGATTGCTAAAGGATTCAAAAGTACTCTTTTTCTCCCCACTTCACCCGTCTGCATACACTCAGGGGAAAGCAGGTACTATGCAAGGACATTGTGGTGACCAAGAAATTTGGGCACAGCTGCATTATTCCTATCCAGCCCTCGGTGCTGCTCTTTACAAAAATGCAAGTTAATTGAGCTTTAAGCCTGAGTTACTTGGATTAAGCAGAAGGGGAGAGAGTGTCTGCCATCAGGGAGGGGCAGCAGCAGAGACCTGGCCTCCCAGCAACAGTGTCTCTACTGCAGGGGTCGGCAACCTAAGGCCCATAGGCCACAAGCGGCCCATGGGGGTTGTTTAAGCAGCCCATGGACCCGCTGCCGCCCGCTCGGTTGGCTCCCGTGCACTGCACTAAACCGGGGCAGAGCAGAGCAGGGACCACCTTCCACGATGCTGGCCAGCTTCCCATTGGCTGCAGGAAGCTCCTGCAGCCATGGAAAGCTGGGCACGCCTCCTCCACACTGGAAATACCATTTATGCATGCGCGCGCACACACACACTCCAGCCCACCGCGGCGTCTGAGGGACTGTGAACCAGCCCAAGCCACAAAAACTTTGCCGACCCCTGCTCTACTGCATACTGAGGTAGGGTGGCAGCAAGGTCCAAAGAGCTACTCCCACCAGTGCCCTAGCCATGTCCAGGCCTTACTGCTGTCCTGCCCCATCCTAGTATGAGGTAGCAATGCTGGCCGCTCCAGGTATGCATAAACCTCTCAATCCCCATAACAGCCGTATGCACACAGATACACTCGTATGCTGGCAGAAGGGAGCATTGCTCATAACGCAACAATTCATTCATACAAATGTATAAAATCACCATCTAATTTTGTAAAGAAGTGGACAAATATTCACAAACAGGTGGTCTGTAAGAAGAGAAACTTCACATGGACAAGTATTCTTTGGATAAATTAGGACATCAACCCTAAAAAGGAAATCTTCCAAATGTGATCTCCATTAACATTTACAATGTTATATTAACTTCTTTAAATGCCTTTCTTTCTCTCTTTAGGTTTAAAGCATAGGAGAGGTCAACATAAAAGATAGGATGAGCCTTACTCAGGGAAAAACACCTGAATTACTTAAACTTTGCAATTTACAGTAATCTTCACAGTAACCTGATCAAAGTTGCCTTCCTCATTATTCATGTGTCACTAGATGCATCACTGACATCATCTGTCCGGCTGTCACTTACTTTCTTTTCCTTTCTCTTTGTTTTTAAGTTGCTGCAGCTTCTGTTCTCTGTGCTGCTTCTCCAACTCTTGTTCCTGCCGATGCTTTTCCAACTTTCTCTGGTGTTCCAAGAGCTCCTGCTGATGTTTCATTGCCAGAATCTCCTGTTGCTGCTATTGGGCAAAAGAGAGAGAGAGACAGAGGTGTGTGTAAAGTAAATGCACACAATCTTTGCCCTTTAAAGTTGCCATCTCCTAAGCAGCAGTCAGAATAAAACTGTTAAAAGTGAGAAAAGAACGTTCCAATTCCATACAAGGAAACAGAGGAGGCAGCATAGCAATAATTTTGAGTTTTGCAATTGTGCACTAGATCAGGGGTAGAAAACCTTTCTGGTCTGGAGGCCATATATTTATTGTCACACAAACCCTGCGGGTCAACTTTGACAGTTGGGCAGAACAACTCCCCTGTCAATCACCCAGTATCATAATGACATCAAGTGATTAATATGTGTCAAAGTTCTTTGCACAGAGCTTCCCAAACACCTAAGAATCAACTGTGGAAACACTGAGCCCAGAGGCTTGCAAAGCACAGTGCTTCCCACATGCTCATTAAGCAGCTAATTGCCGGTGCCTGGGAAGAGCTGTGCAACAGGGCTTTGCATGCACTGCCCTTTTAGATCACACCCTGCCATTGCCTGCCCCACAGAGCACAGCGCAGCAGCTCAGCCAAAGCCTGGCTTAATGTGTTGTTTGAGCTCAGAACTGCAGTTAAGATTTTCACCACAATCTGTAACAATAGGACAAAGCTTGGCTACAGATAGTAAGGAGGAGGTTCCTTAACGAAGTTCAGAGAACACGTTAAATCACACCTTGGCTTAGCTGTTTGTCCACACTGGATATAAACTCCTCAAGTGAACCAGCACATTCCAACTGTCATGGGAAGTCACATTCCGGCTGACTGTTACATGTGAAACAGGCCTATGACTAGAACTGTAAGAGGGATTGATTGATTGATTGATTGATTGATTGATGACAATTTATATGCCACTTAATTATCGTTGGCTCTAAGGGGTTTACTGCTAATTCAATACAATAAAGATTAAAAACAGTTAAAAATATAAAATCAGAACTGAGTTAAAATGCTTGCTGGTTGTTGTTTTTTTAAGTAAAAATTTAAAAGTGCTGGTGTTAGGTGCTGGAGACAGTCTGTTCCCAACTCAAAGCATCACTCCTGGAGTTCACCAGATTTTAACAGTGGAAATAAAACTACAAACTACAACCGTACATAATTTTGTGAATTGCCAACAAGGATCAAGGACTGTTAGTGTTTTGACTAGCAGTGTACAGAAAATCAACAAAAGATACTCTTGTCTTTTGTTTGGTTTTAAATACACACATACATGGCCATTACATGAGAGATACAATGACCCAATTCACACATAACCATAAACTATAAGCCATGGCTTCCTGTGAACATGCAGGGTGCTGGTGTATGCTGCTCATTCACACGCACCTATCTCCTCCTCCCTGTGTCATGCAGAGAACAAACAACCAGAGTTTGTTCTTGGTTTGCTGCTGGTGTTGAATTTGTAGAGAAACAAACCACAAGTTCACACATAAAGCTAAGCCAGTGCTCAGGTCTGTATCCTTCCAGCATGACACAGGGAGGAGAGTGGTGGGAGTGAAGGAGCAGCAGACATGAGCCCGCAGGAAGCTCATGGGAAGCCATGGCTCCTTAGGCTATGGTTTGCCACTGATCCAATATATACCTAGGTACACATGTTATGTTTCTTTCCTTCTAAAGCATCTAAAGTGATTATATAAAGACAACTGTTTAACACACATCAGCCACTGCTTGGGAGACTTTGTTCCAACTCAAACTGAATTCTCGCCACTCACCTTTATGTGTTCATGTAGTTGAGCTTCATGCTGACGAGAGAGCTGTTCATGCTGTCTCTGAAATTCTGCTATGAGGATCTGTCTCTGGATCTGTTGCTTTTGTTTGAGGGCCAACAATTCCTGTTGAAGCTGCTGCTCACGTAATGTAGGTTCTGCAACTGGCATGGAGAACTGATGGTCCAAACGGAGATCCATAGGGACTACAGATGGTGCCACTTGCAAAGGTAGTGTTGTGGTCACATCAACTGCAAAACCCCAAAGGCAAGGTTAGCTTATCTCCAATTCTTATTACGATTTTTATGCAGTAATTATTTAGGGGGGTTTTTATCCCACTTGTCCTTCTAAATGACCCAAGGGCAAACTTACATAACCTATGTTAGAAATAGAAAATCTGAACAATTAAAATATGCTTCCAAATCGTCAAAAATAATTTCAAAGCTGCTAAAACAGTCTGACACAGGTCACCACCCTTCAAGCAATACTCACTGGCAGTGGGACCAGCATCGACTCCCCTACCAATCACAAGGCCTGCAGCGGCTGGTATTAGGGGAGGCAGTTTTTAAAGAACTAAGATCCCAAATGGTTTAGGGCCTTTACACCAGTACCAACATCTTGACTTTGGCCCAGTTGCTCACTAGCAGTCAATGCAGTGCTTGTAAAACCAGTGGCACAAGATCCCACTGTGCTACCCCGCTTACAAACCTGACAACTACATTCTGCACTAGCTACAACTTCAGGACAGTCTTCAAGGGTAGTCCACATAGAATGCATTGAAATAGTCCAAACAGGGAGTCACCAAAGAATGGACTGCTGAGCCCAGGCTCTCTCTGTCTCAGAACAACTCTAGTTCCTGTGTGAGTGTCTGGAGGATGGATGGTGGCTAACTGATTGAGGTTGAATCCTGACAAGACAGAAGAATTGTTTTGGGGGGGCGGGCAGGTGTGGGGGACTCCCTGGTCCTGAATGGGGCAACTGTGCCACTGAAGGACCAGGTGCAAAGCCTGGGACTCATTTTGGACTCACAGCTGTCTATGGAGGCGCAGGTCAATTCTGTGTCCAGGGCAGCTGTCTACCAGCTCCATCTGGTACCCAGGCTGAGACTGTACCTGCCCACAGACTGTCTCACCAGAGTGATGCATGCTCTGGTTATCTCCCGCTTGGACTACTGCAACGCGCTCTATATGGGGCTACTTTTGAAGGTGACCCAGAAACTACAACTAATCCAGAATGCGACAGCTAGACTGGTGACTGGGAGAGGCCACTGACACCATATAACACCAGTCTTGAAAGATCTACATTGGCTCCCTGTAGATTTCCGAGCACAATTCAAAGTGTTGGTGCTGACCTTTCAAGCCCTAAACGGCCTCAGCCCAGTATACCTGAAGGAGCGCCTCCATCCCTGTCATTCATCACGAACAATGAGGTCCAACGCCAAGGGCCATCTGGCGGTTCCCTCGCTGCGAGAAGCGAAGTTACAGGGAATCAGGCAGAGGGCCTTCTCGGTAGTGGCACCCGCCCTGTGGAACACCCTCCCGTCAGATGTCAAGGAAATAAACAACAAGACATCTGAAGGCAGCCCTGTTTAGGGAAGTTTTTAATGTTTGATGTAGTACAGTATTTTAATATTTTTTTGGAAGCCTCCCAGAGTGGCTGGGGAAACCCAGACAGATAGGCGGGGTAGAAATAATAAATAAAAATTATTATTATTATTATTATTATTATTATTATTATTATAGCTGGTAAGGCAGGCAAAGACAGATGCCAGCATCCGTATCACTAAGGCCACTTAGATTTATAACATCATATTTGGATCAAAATGTAATTCCAATAGCCACAGCTGTCCTTAAAATCTAACTCTGATCAGCCACATGAACAATGGCAAGGATGATGGGTGTTGCACTTCAAAAACAACTAAATGTTAACTACCCTTGCTCAAGTCAGTTAACCACAAAGAACCATTTAAGTTAGTAAGTTTAAAACAAAAACACTTTTGGAAGCTATTTTGGTGCTACCATATTTCAGTTATAAAGAATGAGAAAAGCAGAATATATTAGTCTTTCCTTCCTACAATGACTAGTAACTTACAATTTAACAAAAGCTCTCATGATAACTTCAATATATAACTATACAGATATTTTTAACATATGCAGATTAAATGTGAATGAATTAATCATTTAGAAGGTAGATAATCAAATTATGACATTATTTAATTAATTTACAAGCCTTCCTTTGGGAGTGTTGCATATACTGTATTTCTTACTGATGTTAGCTGTTTTAGGAAACAATATTTGTCTGAAAAGCAGGATGTAAATAAATAAATAAGAACTGATTTGCAACAAGACAATGGACAGAAAGAAGCTTTGATTCCTGAAATCTCTACCCCCAAGTCAGCGCTAGTCAAGAAGCAGGATGCACAAGAAACAAGAAGTTGGACATGTCTGCATATAAGGATCTGAAATATTTTATTTTTATTATTTATTGAATTTATATACCGCCCTATACCCGGAGGTCTCAGGGCGGTTCACAAAACAGCACAAAAGAGCCACATTTTAAAAGGGTATAGGATGTAAATCAAATCAACCAAAGACCTGATTAAAAAAAAACACATTTTTTGCCTGGTGCTTAAAGGTGTATAATGAAGGCGCCAGGCGAACATCCTTCTGAGATTGTGGTGCCTAGAATTGGACACCATATTCCAGGTGTAGTCTGACCAAGGCAGAAGAGAGTGGGACTATGACTTCCCTTGATCTGGACACTAGACTTCGGCTGACACAGCCTAGAACAGCAGTGACTTTTTTTGCTGCTGCATCACACTGTTGACTCATGATAAGCTTGTGGTCCACCAAGACCTCTAGATCCTTTTCACATGTACTGCTAGTAAGACAGGTGTCCCCAATCCTATATTTGTGCATCTGGTTCTTCCTGCCTAAGTGCAGAACTTTACATTTGTCCCTATTGAAATTCATTTTGTTAGCTTGGGCCCTGTAGCTTGGACTCTGTTAAAGTCATTTTGAATTCTGATTCTGTCTTCTACTGAATTAGCTACCCCTCCCAGTTTGGTATCATCTGCAAATTTGATGAGCATCCCCTCAATTCCTTCATCCAAGTAGTTTATCAAGACATTGAACAACAACGGGGCCAGGACAGAAACTTGTGGCACCCCACTTGTCACTTTTTCCTAGGATTGTGAGGAACCACTAATGACCACTCTTTGGGTTTGGTCCACCAACCAGCTACAAATCCACCTTACAGTTACCTCATTTAACCCACATTTTACCAGCTTCCTCGCAAGATTATCATGGGGGACTTTGTCAAAAGCCTTACTGAAATCAAGATACACTACGTCCACACCATTCCCCTGATTCACCAAGCTTGTTACTCCATCCAAAAACAAAACAAAAAAAGAGATCAGACTGGTTTGTCATGGCTTATTTTTGAGAAACCTATGCTGGGTCTTAATAATCACAAGGGCTAATATCTGATTTTCAACATTGTGATATATCACCATCTAAAACATCACAATATTTTGATATACCACGATATCTGAAATAAGGCTGAAGCTATATAGAAGTGAATGTGGGAATGTCCTGGCAACTGCTAAAACCTATCGGTCTAATTCTAAAACTGATAAATTTTTACTTACTCTTAACATATTGTTACAACTGCTATGTTACAGTACTACTGTACCGATAATGTTTAAATTATCACATTTTCTCTAAAATTTAAGCTGTAAAATATAATCAGTAACATAGATATCAAAGGTAAGGTGAGAGAATGTTCCCTAAAAAATTAATTACGTTACAAAACAAGTAAAAGGCCAATTCAGTGTCACTTTTAGTTATTCAAGTATTGAGTATAAAAGGTAAATGGTAAATGACCCCTGGACAGTTAAGTCCAGTCAAAGGCAACTATGGGGTGCAGCGCTCATCTCACTTCAGGCCGAAGAAGCCAGCGTTTGTCCACAGACAGCTTTCTGAGTCATGTGGCCAGCATGACTAAACCGCTTCTGGTGCAACAGAACACCGTGACAGAAACCAGAGTGCACAGAAACGCTGTTTACCTTGCCGCCGCCGCCACAGTACCTATTTATCTACTTGCACTGGTATGTTTTCGAACTGCTAGGTTGGCAGAAGCTGGGACAGAGCAATGGGAGCTCACACCGTCACACGGATTTGAACTGCCAACCTTACAATCGGCAAGCCCAAGAGGCTCAGTGGTTTAGACTACATCCCACAACTCCAGTTATTTGATTGATAGTTAATTTTCTTTTCTAAACCAAGCCAAAGTAGAAAGAATGGAATGGATAAATTTTAACAGAACAAAATATTTTTAAACAAATTTATATTTTTTTTGCCAGGAAAAATTGCATTTCTTTTATAAGGTAAAGGTAAAGGTACCCCTGCCCGTATGGGCCAGTCGTGTCTGACTCTAGGGTTGTGCGCTCATCTCACTGAAGAGGCCGGGAGCCAGCGCTGTCCAAAGACACTTCTGGGTCACTTGGCCAGTGTGACAAAGCTGCTCCGGCGAACCGGCACCAGAGCAGCACACGGAACGCCGTTTACCTTCCCGCTATTAAGCGGTACCTATTTATCTACTTGCACTTAAGGGTGCTTTCGAACTGCTAGGTGGGCAGGAGCTGGGACCGAACGACGGGAGCTCACCCCGCCGCAGGGATTCGAACCGCCGACCATGCGATCGGCAAGTCCTAGGCACTGAGGTTTTACCCACAGCACCACCGCGTCCCTTCATTTCTTTTATAAACCAGGCCAAACCAGGAAGAATGGATAAAATTTTACAGAACAAAAAATTATTAAATGAAATTTATAAATTTTTGGAATGAAAATCTGCATTTCGGCATTCTCTGGCAATAGAGATGTCATTTGTCTTTGAAGAACATTGCCAGCAGTGCTGAACACATTTTCAGATGGCACACTTGTTCCGTTTTTGGATAGCCAAATATTTCTTTGCAAGCACTTTCAACTTTGGGAAGGATGCCTCATGTCCCATATCAGAGGGCATTCATCAATGTCCTCTGTTGGCATCGCCATATAGTCTGTGGGTTGCTGCTGCCCCAAAAGAAAGAAGCACACAAAAAACACAGGGGGGTCCCCCCTTTTATTCTGAGACGACTTGCAAGCCAACTTGGTATCCCTCCCCCTTGCAGCAGCATAGTGCAAGCAACTTGGAAGGGAAAGAGAGAGAGAGCACAGCTAAAAAAGAAGAAGTTCCTTGGAAGGGTAGTACTACAGAGAAGCTCATCACTGGAGCAAGGAAGGGAAAGGGTTAACACAGAGGAGGCAGGGGAGGCTCTAGAGATGGTTTCTGAAAAATCTGTTTCTCCATCAGGCTGCAGTTTTTGCTCAACCTTTTGTAGCTATTTGTAGCAATAACCTGTTCTCAAAGAGACAGAGATTTTTAGAGGGTCATCTTTTCTCAACCTGTAGCTATTTGTAGCAATGGCAGGGGAGAGCTGACCAGTTCTCAAAGAGGCAGAAATTTTTACAGGCAGCTGTTTTTGCTCAGCCTATTGTAGCTACAGTCATACCTCGGGATGAATACGCTTCCGGTTAGGCAAATTCGGGTTGCGCTCCGCGGCAACCCTGGAAGTAACAGAGCGCGTTACTTCCGGGTTTCGCCGCACGCGCAGACCGTCAAAATGATGTCACGCACATGCGCAGAAGCTCTGAAACGTGACCCGCGCATGCGCAGACACGCGGACACAGGTTACGTTCGCTTCGGGATGCGAACAGGGCTCCGGAACGGATCCCGTTTGCATCCCGAGGTACCACTGTATTTCTAGTGATGGTGGGGAGAGCTAACCTGTTCTCAAAGATGTGGTGATTTCTGCAGCAGCCAGCTGGCAGGGAAGAGCTGACCAAGGCAGCGTTAGCAAGGGCTGACTGTGGAATTATCTGTTCTGGGACCTTTCCTGGTACTGATGTCAAGTTCACTTGTCAGTAGTTACCTGGGTCTTCATTTCCCCCCTTTTTGAAAATGGGGACATTTGCTCACCTCCAGTCTGCAGGGACCTCACCTGTTCTCCAAGAATTCTCAAAGATCATAGGCAAAGGCTCTGACATTACATCTGCAAGCTCCTTTAGAACCCTTGGAGACAGCTCTTCAGGCCCTGTAGATTTGAATTCCTTTAAAGTAGCTAGGTGTTCCCTTACTACCTCTTTTCCTATATTGAGCTGCAGCTCCCTCCTTACATCATTTATTCTGTTATCACCAGGCTGTGCATCACCTTTCTTTTGAGTGAAGACAAAGGCAAAGTAGATGTTGAGTAGCTCCCCCTTCTCTTTGTCACTCAACAGCATTTCTCCATCTTTTCCACACAGAGGACCTACGACTTCCTTGTTCTTCCTCTTCCTTCGGACACAGCCAAAGAACCTTTTTTATTATTATTTTCAACCTCTCTTGCAAGCCTGAGCTCATTCTGAGCTTTAGCCAGCCTGAC